CCCCTCCGGCGCTCCTTGCCCGGCAACCGGTCACTCGCGTCTATCGCTCCATTCAGGCTTGATGGTGGGCGGTAGCTGGTAGCGGTAGCGGGCGCTGGTAGATGACATTAAGAGCAGATGGCGCTGGTGGCGGGGCTCGAGTGTGGCCGAGCGCAAGCCTCTGCCCGGGCCTGGGCCCTGTTTCACCGGTGATAGCAGCACGCCACTATCAAATTGCGCGAGCTGACGTAATGTGATGACGTCATACTGCTGACGTAAGGGATAATTCTGGCGCACGATTGCCGCAATATTGTTTTACGTCATCAACTAAATGTTCGAAGTTTACGTCCAAATTTTCCTTAAAACCAACTTGTTTTAAATACATCATATTAAAAAAATATATAGTAAAAATAAATATACTATCATGACTGCATAAACTCTTACTTTTAAAGGCTCATACGTCACTTAATGCCGCGGCCAAGGTCGCGGCAATCGTGCGCCGGAACTGCCCATCACGTCAACAGTATGGCGTCATGACATGACGTCAGCTCGCGAAACGTGATAGCAGCGTGCTGCTATCACCGGTGAAACAGGGCCCTGAATTGACCTTAGCATTACGAGTGAATGAGAAGTACCTTTCATAATCGTTTGGCGTCAAAATACCTTAGTAATAAAAGTTTCGGCAGGTTCTGAAACACACATTGCCAGAATATTGTCAACGAGAGTTGACGCATTCAAAAATTATCGCAAAAAGTGGGGTCTCAAGAGGTTTGACGTCCATAGTAAATAGTTGTAACGGGCTTATTGAATACGGAACGATATTACCTAAAAATGATTCGGCTGAAATAAATTGAAACTTAAATGTGTCTTTTATTAAGGGCGTAATTCACATCATTATCATCCAAACAATCGATTTAAGTCACGACTCTATGCGAGTATATCGATCGCTACTGTACGTCTCACTTACCCTCCCATCGTCAGGAGCTGGCCTACGAGACGCTGATGGAGAAGCAGCGCCAGCACCTGCACCGGAACGCGGCGCTGCAGCTCGAGGGGCGCGCACACCGGTGTCGCAGCTGCGGCGGCGGCGGCTTCGAGCACGGCGGAACCACCCACTCGGTGCGTCAAAACACGGGATTTATGAATCTCACACATCACTTAAAAGTCTGGATTCACCAGATAAGATTGTCAGCAGCTAGACATTTTAATGAGGCATCATCAGTGGCCAATGTGAGACAGCAAACATTCTTCATGTGAATTCCTTACTCTCTACCCTCTAACAACCTCCTCTCGTTTCGCGGCCGACAGGAGGCGTTCAAGGTGTCGATGCGCTCATCGTCGATGCTTCCCGTGCCTCAGAACCAGGAGCAGTCGACGCGCCGGTCGCGTCTCTACCAGAATACCAAGGTGCAGCCCAAGGGCCGGGAGAGGAGCCAGGTGAGAGGACGGTGGGGGCACCGGACACTGGCGGGTCCAGGGGGCGTCAGGGGAAGTGCTTCTCCCGAGGCGTCCGTAATGAGTGAAAAATGTCGTCCCTTTTAAGAAACTTGAGTTTTTTTTTGTTTTGTGAGTTGAGAACGAAAAATGTTTTCACCCGATACCAAGGAAAGAGCACCAGTACTTTGTCGCTGAGTTACGTGCCCCGCACGCATCCCACTCATTTTATATTGTCCGATCGTTGCCCGGCGCGTACAAATAACACATGAAACCGCCCCGCGATTGGACCCCGTCCTCTGACCACAGGATATCTCCATGCTGCCGGGAGGGTCGATGCAGCGCTCCAATCAGTCATTTTCTAAGGTGAGTGCTGTAAATTAACAAATTACCCGTAACATGTACACGTACGTAAGAGAAACGTAATTCGAAAACAGTTTTACAATAAACATACGCAAATATATTTTACTCTTGTCCATGCATCCTCCATATAACTCCAAATCGTCTATATCTGTACGTTTGTGACGGCGCGGCTGACGCCGCGTCATTCTGTCCCTGGCGTTGTTGTCGTCAGCAGCGGCGCCGCTCCCGTTCGTCGTCGATGGCGCCCTCTGAGAGCGGTGACGAAGAGGAGAGCAGTAAACTGGACCGGCGCGCCTGCAAATGCACCGAGATCCTGGCCACCGTCTACCCGCAGCTCATCCGACACTGGAAAAACGCCAGTCAGTCCGGGCAGCGCGGACGTCACTCGGCACCCGGCAGTCGATAAATCACGTCAACCACTTTATCAATATGACTCAGCCCAGAGTCCTGGACTGGACTTGATAGGACAAATTATTTATGGCCAACGTGATGTGTGGTTTTGACATTATTTTACCGGACTGCTGAGTTATGGTATGATATAAATTGTCTTTTGTGGTTAACATTTTTTTAAAGTTTGACAGTCGCTCGCTTACCTATCGTTTTACATGATGCAGTTCCTACTTGGTTTGCCTATGTTTACGATTCGCGGATGTCCTCCGCCCGCAGACATGGTGGGTAAGACGGTATACTTCCTGAGCGCGGCCGGGGAGGCGGCCATCACCCTGCAGGACAACAGCCAGGCACTCACCTACCTCCGAGAGGCGCAGATCCTCGTCGACGAAATGAAAACAGGCGAGTCACGGGCGGAGGCGATTAGGTCATAGAAGACTTGTCTATCATTCAGTTCAGCCTTCCCCCGTTGCTGCTTATTCAATTTAAGAACTGTTTTGAGTCGCTTATAGCGAAATATAATTGATCCTAATTCACATTTTTGGGCGTTCCGTTTACTTGACAAGACCCACAGCCAAGCGCTCGATAATGCTGCACCGCAATGCGCTCGTGTAATGCGGCACAGCCTACCTGCCGCGCGTCGGAACTCTCAGCGAACTCCTGCGCCTTGCCAGCACGGAACCGTGGCTCCCTCCAATTAACGTGTCCCGCTCGGCTTATCAGCTTTACAGCGTTCCCGGTTCCAAAGCTAGGTTCTCTGACACACTTAAATCTTCTCAGAGACATTACGATAGACGTCATAACAGCTGTCTAACATCTCCGAGGTTTTAGATGCATTCGATAGACGATAAGGATAACGACAAAACTAAAAACAATCCTAACTTTTTGCCATCTTCGCTCGAATGCATCTAAGAATGTTGATTTTTCGCATTCCCAATTTTTTACGATATTTCTGCTATCCCGTCAGGCGCACGTCCTCTGCCTGATCCTGACGACGGTGACGTCATCCCGGTGTGGTGGCAGGACGCCAAGGTGGAGAACCTGATGGGTCAGGCCTACCTCCGCATGGGCATGCTGGAGGACGCCCTCTCGCACCTCAGGTAACAGCGCCTCATAATATCGTATCCCTAACGTCCTCTGGGCTGATTTATCCGCCTTTCTCAGGGTAACGGAAACTTCCCGCTATGGTCTCGCGTATTTCGTTGGCTATTTATCAGCATGTTTTTGTTCCACAGGGAAGCACTGGAGATGCTGGAGATATCGTTCCCCACCCGGGTGAACATATTTCACATATGGACAGCGGAGCTCACCCAGTTCCTACACCAACTGATGCCGGCACATTATCTCGGTAAATGCATAATCGGAAAATAGCAAGTTTCTCCTCATTTATCATTCAGACATTCGGGTGGAATGTTGCAAATAGTACTTTAGTTCTTGGATAAAGCTTTATTGATTACTTAATAGATGCGTTTACATCGGCTACATGATTCTCTTTACGAAAGACGTAGGTAACATAAAGTGCCTAAGACGTGTAACAGTGAAAAGCGCATCTGTTACGCAACACGTCCATCACCACGGCCGTCATCCCTGCGCTTGTGTCAGGCTCTGTGGACCAGGAGATGGCGCCCATCAAGGTGGAGGCGGCCAACTGCCTGAAGCACCTGACGGACGTGTTCCACCTCAAACACAACGAGTCGGTCTGCTACCTGGCCGCCCTGATGCAGCTCAACATCGCCGAGGCGGCCAGCACCGACTTCGACGAGCTCATCATGGCCTACTCCAGCATCATACAGGTCGGCAGACGCGATAACGCGATGTCGCCTCATCATTAAGTTGTATGCTTGACAGTGATCCGCACTTCGCATCACTGGCGGATCCAGGGGGGGGCCACCGGGGCCATGGCCCCCCCAAAAGCCTGAAAGGGGGGGCCAACATATCTTTTGGCCCCCCCCCAAAACGCTTGAAGAAAAATTAATGTGAGATGGTTGCGTAGTAGATACCTACTAGAATCAGCAGCGTGATTCAATAGCGTAGAGAAAGTCAGGGGTGCGGGAACTACTTTCAGACTGGGGGGGAGGGGCACACCATAATATAGATCAACCTAGGGTCCCCCCAAATCTAGTTTCTCACCGGTTTTAGGCCACTTATTTTTCATCTCTTGGCTTTTTCAACAAAAAAAGAAAACATTTGCAAAAAGGGCGGTATTCCGTCTGAAAGTTGTGGTGGCACCGCCCCCCACTGGTGGATTCAGGGAGGGGGCCACCGGGGCCATGGCCCCCCAAAAGCCTGAAAGGGGGGCCAACATATCTTTTGGCCCCCCTCCCAAAACGCTTGAAGAAAAATTAATGTGAGAAGGTTGCGTAGTAGATACCCGTAGAAGTTAGAATCACCGGCGTGATTCAATAGCGTAGAGAAACTCAGGGGTGCGGGAACTACTTTCAGACTGGGGGGGGGGCACACCATAACATAGATCAACCTAGGGTCCCCCCGAATCTAGTTTTCTCACCGGTTTTGGGCCACTTATTTTTCATCCCTTGGCTTTTTTCAACAAAAAAAGAAAACATTTGCAAAAAATGGGGTATTCCGTCTGAAAGTTGTGGGGGCACCGCCCCCACGGCCCCATAGTTGGGGGGTGGGCAAGCTGTCCCCACTGCCCCGGTTCCCGCGCCTATGGAGAAACTACCTGGTTTACTAGCTTCCTTCATAAAGTGTCGTCATGTCTTGTCGTCACCCGAGAAGGTCTTATTGTATACATATCGATTGAACTGTCAAGTTAACAAACTTGCTCTGGCAGCCTGACCTGACATGACCCGGCAATTTTTCATTCACGGAATATGCGCAATAATTTTTTTAGGAACACTCACTGAGTTGGCGCTGAAAAGCTTGTTTTGTTTGGTAATTGTACAAGAAGCATATCAGGGACCTTTTTGTCCCTTCCCGTGAAACGGTAAAAGACTTATTTCGGTCAGAGCTCAGGCCAATCTCTAAGGGGTCAGTCGGGTCACTTATTTCTTAAAGGAAGACTGCCACCTTCAAAAAGTTTTCTCAGATCGGCCTATGATTTATTCCCTGGACAAAACAAAATTTTAGAATTCACCTGACAAAGTATCATCACGTGAATCGCGAAAAAAATTGTCGATTATCATACAATTATCAATCGGTTAATGTCTAGCGACAATGTTTACACATCACTAGACTTCAAGGTCATAAGATTATTACATTTTATTTGAAAAAGTAAGGTATTTTATGATTTACTAATATATGATTTCATAAGAAATTGGCCATGTTTAATTTATTTTGCATTTAAGTTTGTAAAACATTTAAAAATCATGGCTCATTTGGAATGGGTCTGGCCCATGTTAAACCCCATTTCCCACACTTTTTTGGAAAAAATGAACTACTGAATATATAAGTTTAACTTTTATTTTGACACTCCAAAATTCTTCTCTGATCTCGAAACAATCAAAGTTTTGACATATATTTACCAAAAGATAAGAAAATTCATGTTTCAAAGTTATCGATAAACAGTAGAGATGTCGGTTTTCTTGGACTAAAAAAATGGCATCAAACTGAACTTTGGTCTCCGATTTCTCGCAAACGGGTTCGAATTTCGGAAAACCGACTTCAGTCTGGGACATAGGTGGCTCAGCTCTAGTGAAAACCGTTTTGTGGAAAAAAGGTGGCAGTCTACCTTTAAAAGGGTCCTTACGGCATCCAAGGACCAATTCCGGCTTTTGAGTGCACCACATCAGCATTTGATGCTGCGACAGATGGTGAAATATGAATATATGTTACAGGCCGTATGAAAATTGTCCGTTTGCAAACGGCCTGGCCCAGTCAGGGCATATGAAACTTTTTTTTTTTTTTTTGTTAATAATTTTCTGTGTATTGCCAATGTTTTCAGTGAGATCCAAAGGCTGTTCTGGTTTTTCACAACACCTTACACGCAATATCACAAATCACAATAGGCCGCTGGCTAGAGTTGTCCGAGCAGAATGTGCGCCGGTCGGTGTGACTACACAGGGCCCGAGCGGGTGACGATCGCAGGCTCCTCTCCCGTGACTGGATGACTAGACGTGGGTCGAGCCGGAGCGGTGTTTCGAGCCGGCCAGCTCAAAGAACAGCACGTAAGCCTTTCCGCTGTTGACGTTTCTCTGGTCCATCACGTGGACCCGCGAGTCGTTGTACTCGTACCACTCTGCCGTGTACGGGTGTCGGCAGTGAGCGGTGTAATGTCCTGAGAGCAGCGTGCCAGAGTGGTTCGCCACGCCGTATAGGCTGTACCGGCAGGGCGTCTGTCCGGCCGAGTAGGGCGACAGGTCCAGGCCGTTCACCGAAAAGTCGACAGTGGTGTTCAGCTTCCCGCGGAACCTCTCCTGCGGCGAGAACCGCTTCAGGTGGACCACCAAGATACGAGGGAACTTCTGGATCGAGAGGCTCCTGGTGCACTTTTGGCGCTTCTGGCACTTTGAGCAGGTCGGTTTTTCGTCGCCATCGAGCACCTCCTCTTTGGTGAACAGGTCAAAACAGGCCTGTAGGCGCACCTGGCCACTTCGTGACGGGATTGGCAGACTCAGATCCCAGAACGGGTCGAAGGTAACCGATGCGTGGCCACATACCGTGCACCGCAGGGTAGCCTTGAGCTGGCCCACGAACAGGTCAACAAACTTGGAGTTTTCCAGGCGCAAGAAACGTTTCCAGGCCTCCATTGACTTTTGACTGGTGCTCAGTGAGTCGTCGATGTCGGTCGTGATCGGCTTTGGCCGGCTCGTCACCCGGTTCACGTCCTCGTGAAGTCCCTGCAGCAGATATCTGAGGAATTCCTGCGCGTCCTGCTGCTGAGAGCCCATGAAGCGTGGCGCGAGCCGTTGGATCATCGACTTGAGTGGTGCGGTGGTGAGCACCCGCTCCGTTTCGTCCGAGGATGTCCACATGTCGCGTATCAGGGCGCTGAATGTGTTCATGAGGGACCCCTTCGTAGCGGCGGCAGGCATGCTGGCATCTGAGGAGCGTCCATCGCGCAGGATGTAATCGTGGAGAGCGCGTGTGTTGCTCAGGCACTGGACGATGAAACAGCATATGAAACAGCCTGAAAACACCGGCCGTTTGCAAACCATGACCTGAAATATCAGACCGTTTGAAAACGGCCTAGTTAGTTTCGGCCTAGCGGATCCAGGGGGGCCACGGGGTCATGCCCCCCAAGCCTGAAAGGGGGCAACATGTATTTTGGCCCCCAAAAACTCTTAAGAAATATGAATGTGAGAAAGTAGCGTAGTAGGTAGAAACTACCGTATCATTAAAAATATGTGAGCTTGAGTGTTGGTCTCGTCTTCACCCAAGAAGTTCTTATTGCATACTTTACCTCTCGATCGACGCGTGAAGTTATCGTGTAAGTTATCATGAATCCGATCGCGACGAAACTTTAGCACCCTCATGTTGACAAAGTCTGAAAATTTCATGACCCTGACCCAAGTGACCTTTGACCTGTGGCCTATTTCTCGAGACTATCCGTGCGTTCGGAGAGCATGGAATATTCACCGTCCCCTGGAATATTCCCCGTGCCGCGTTCGGAGGCGTATCTCTCTGAACGGCCAATCTCCGGGAATGTTCCGCGCGCATGGAGTATTCCACGGATTCCACGTGGAATGTGCCTCTCCGAACGCACCATATGTTTGGCCATGTTTGAGGCCATGTTTGGCCGGAATCGCGATTCCGCGTATGTCGGCTCACATTATCCGCTCGTTTACAGTCTTTTCGTGGTTTAAAACGCTCAAACATGTGAAATGATGTTGGTCCCAACCATTGTGGTAGGTGTCAATGTCACCTTAGGGTCAAGTCAGGTCATTGACCTTTGATGACCTCGGTGCACTTTTCCGAGTTTAACATGTTTCTAGGATAGTTTCGTTTAGCTGATTTTGAATTTAGCATTTAGCAACCATTTGAACATTTACGAAGTAGTTTTGATGCCTTCGTATCATGTTACGTAGCTGCCAGTGGTAGTCGGACACCTGCTACACGGACGCCCATAAGTACTGGTTGACCTGGTTGACCTGACCTGGCCTGCCCCGACATGGCCTAAAGGCATGAAGACATCATCTATGATCCAAACTAACATGAAATTCGTGATCAGCACAAAAAAAATCTATTACAGCCTTACTTTAGGAGGTTCTGACAGGCCCTGATTTTCCCGTCTTTTGGGTCTGTGACCTGACCTGGGCGGTGTTTCACGGCACGCTGCCAGCGCTGTTGGCACTTTTGGTTTCCATGGAGACATCAACTAGCCTATACCTACAACACTACCGAAAGTTGACCTTAGCTCGCGGAATGCGCTGGCAGCGGCTGGCAGCGCGACCGTGAAACACCGCCCTGGAAGGTCAACCAATGACCAAGGACCTTAAAATCGGGTATCATCGGCTTCCTCTCGTCACTCACAGGCAACACACTCGTTTTTTCCGCGAGCTCTAGCTTGATCAGGGGCCGAACGGCAGAGAGGTTCAACCGACACCTCCTAGCCCGCGAAGTCTGCGCCAAGCACCGACCCGGAGCGGTGGTCGACAAAAGCAATTTGAAGTGTTTTCAAAGTAATATTAAGGCACGGGTTGAGTGGGCTACCATTTCTCTCTCTATTTTTTTTTTAGTTTAAAAAAATTATCGTTTCAGGGCTGTGACGAAAAATAAGTGGCCTAAATCCGATGAGAAAACAGGATTTGGGGGTACCCTAGGTTTGGCTCCTTGCACGAGTTGGCCCCCCCCCCCCCCCAAAACGCAAGTCTGGATCCGCCAGTGCTTCGCATTACATAACGCCCTAGTCACTTGATGAACTCCCGTTTATTCGGAACTACGAGTTCCGCTATGCTGCACCGCAGTACAGCTGTGTAATGCGGTACAGTCTACCTACCACCGCCGGAACGGCTGATCGGTGACTTTCTGACCGTGTTTCAGGCGTGCATGGCTCGCGGCCGACTGCGGCAGGCCTCCTATTACTCCAGCATGGCGGTGGCCAAGCTGGAGGCGCTCTTCAACATGATGCAGGAGGAGGACTTTGCCACGGCGGCCAGCCTCTACACCATCGTTCTGAGGATGAAGCTGGCCTCCGGCGAGCTATACGAGGCGCTGGACAACGGCGAGTGGCCGATACAGCTCAGACGAACCTGGCATTCCTAGCTCAGTTGTACTGAACGCTGTAGCTTGCATTGCTGAAACTTTGACAGCGTGGCATAATTACAAAGTACATCAATGGCGCTTCGAACTGTCTGGCATCGCGTAACATTGCTAAATGGTACGCAGACAGCCGTCAAGTTAACTATCATTTTCCCTGCTGACTGACTGGCAGACGCCACTCTAACCGAATTCTTCCCGCCGCAGGCTACATAGCACTGCGTATCAACCGCCGGATCCACGACGGTGAGGCGGAGCTGGCGTCTGCGCAGCTGCTCTCGCAGTGCCTGCTGCTGCAGCTGGCCGTCCAAGAGCTGGTCGACCTCTCTCGCAGGGTGATGTTCATCGCAGAGGAGGGAAGTCACGTGCTGGGGAAACACTGGTACTACCTTGGGTGTCTGGATACGCTCATCGAGGCAGGGTGAGTGTGAGTGGGAGAGGTGTAACGGGGAGGGCACGGTTCGTCGGAAGGTCATCTCAGGCTCAAAAGAAACGATATATACCATTCGAAAGCTGACGGTGAGCTGAATCCAAAAATGTAATTTTTATCAAAATCGATCGATGGCCTTTTTTGAAAATTGCGTTTTTGTAAAAACTTAATAATCTTTTATTCAACGGGCTGTCCCGGACATTCTTGAAAACATAAACATGTATTTTTGAGTTCCAGTGAAAGCTGAACGCCAAAAGAACAATATTTAGCGAAGCAATATTTCCAAACATTAATATGCGTCTCCCACAGCCGACAATAAGGCGCAATCACACAGCTCAGTGTCACGATGGACCAAAGTCAGCCACACAGAAGCGTGAAATGACCCTTATCGACTCGCAGACCCGGCGCTCTCGGCCCGCCTGACCGGCCACGGAAAGAACGTTCGGCTCTCGTTCTACTAAACAAATGTCAAATTTGTCAGTTTAACTGTCCACATCGCTGTTAAAGTTATTCAGGATACCTGTGAAGAAAATTCATTGTTCTGTCATCTTCACATCATGCATTAATTTGCATTTGCTCATGTCTACTTTGCTCAATTGAGCTTGGTATCATGCCCATATAAGGAAAATTGGCCGCACTGAAATGTCAGAGGTTGCACCGGCCTCAGCTCGGGTGGAGTGGGGGTAGCGCCCGGCGGGGCAGGGTAACCTTTGACCGGTCGCACGGCCGAGCAGCTGTCACCAGTACAGCCTCTGACAGTGAAACCCCGCTCACTTCCCCTGCGCGGGCACTGATCGCAGCTGGATGGAACAAAACATGTATAAGAAAAATGTAAATTAAAGCATGTTGTAAATCAAGCAGAACAATGAATTTTCTTCCCAGGTATCCTGAATAACTTTAATAGCGATGTGGACAGTTAAAGTGACAAATTTGACATTTGTTTAGTAGAACGAGAACCGAACGTTCTTTCCGTGGCCGGTCAGGCGGGCCGAGAGCGCCGGGTCTGCGAGTCGATAAGGGTCATTTCACGCTTCTATGTGGCTGACTTTGGTCCATCGTGACACTGAGATGTGTAATTGCGCCTTATTTTCGGCTGTGGGAGACGCATATTAATGTTAGGAAATATTGCTTCGCTAAATATTGTTCTTTTGGCGTTCAGCTTTCACTGGAACTCAATAATACATGTTTATGTTTTCAAGAATATCCCGGACAGCCCGTTAAATAAAAGGTTATTAAGTTTTTACAAAAACGCCATTTTCAAAAAAGGCCATCGATCGATTTTGATAAAAATTACATTTTTGGATTCAGCTCTCCGTCAGCTTTCGAATGGTATATACCGTTTCTTTTGAGCCTGAGATGACCTTCCGACGAACCGTGAGGGGATGATAGCGGGATTACGATCATCTGATGGATAATGCAGCCCATCGTTCAGGTAGATGAGCCACAGAAAAGCTGGAGATGGAACAAAATCTGGTAGACGACGAAATACGACAAACGTTAAACAGGGATGTTATTATTCATTATTCATAGCGGAGCAGCTCATGAGACAAAATGTATGTATATGCAGAAAAGGATCAAGTAGCTATGTCGATGACCCGCGAGCCGCATCAATAACATAGCGGTCCGGCCGTCCGTCTATTGCTCGGCAGGTTCAGTATCGAGGACATCGGCACATGTGTGTCGTTTGTGCGCGACACGTACTCTGACCCCTCCGTCCGCACCGAGCGCGAGGCGCAGTTCTACGCGGCCGCCACGCTGGCACTGTGGTACGCGCGAACCGACTCCTGGGTCGAGTGCGACCGCTGGATCGCCGTCGCCGAGGAGGTTAGTGAGGACGCTGGACAGGTGGGTGAATGAGACGACTGAATGTGAGCACTGACGACCGCAACAAATCGCAGACTGCTCCGACGGCTGGCGAATGTTGGCAACAAGCTAATACATCGTTTTTAACGTCAATAGCAGGAGGCAGCGGGAAGTAAGAACTAGCGGCTGACGATGTCGATTATCGATATTTTGCAGAGGCAGTCATCGAAGCGTCATCGGGTACCGATATTTGTGATTTGTGATTACACTGATAACTGATATAATCGGGTCTGCCGTTTTTTTTTTTTAGCTCCAGGCTTAGCCGACGAGCCCTGTCCCGTCTCTTTCCCACATAAGCTTGATGAGACATGGCACGTCCATTCACAAGGATATCCTGACGACTGACGAGGTCCCGACTTTCCTCTCCTCTGCCCTCAGGTGAAGCCGGTGAAGGCTCGCTGCGTGGTCACCGTGCACGGCCTCTGTAAGCTGCTGGAGACGCGCCTGATCCGGCTCTGTGAGACCATCGTGGAGCAGCTGTACGAGGAGACGGAGAAGGACGAGCCCGTGGTGCGCCAGTATCTCAAGGAGCTCGACAAGGCAGTCGAGTTCCACAAGGTCTTCAAACCCAGGTCAGTGCCGCGGAGACATATGCCAGCAAGGCTGGGACCTCAAACTGATCGTGGGTAGTATGCTAGGCTGATGTGTCTTATAATGAAATCCTGTCGCTACTCGCTTTCTAGTTACATTCACAACAAAATTCAAGTCACTTCTTGCTTACGAAGCTTGTGCGAGTCGTGGAATATCATTGTTACCTACAAAGGCCGGTGCCGAATTCCGCAGGTACCTGCACATGCGGGCGTACTTCTGCATGTTCACCGGTAAGACGGACAAGGCGTTCCGTCTGCTGAAGGAGGCGGTGGTGATGGCCGACCGCCTCACCAACGTGCTGGACCGAGAGTGGGCCAAACACTCGCTATACGTGAGTGCGGACAGGGTTGCGGGTTAGTGACAGTCTCAACCAATTGATAGTGTGGCTTCGGCGGTGGGGTGTGCTCCCGTTTAGAAATAAACGGGCCTGTCATTGCAGGGAAATACGAGCACAAAAGGGAATGGATTCCATCACAGTCCGCTTCCCTTCATATGTATTGTGTAATGTATTCCGGTAGTAGGTAGATGCCACCTCATACGGTTTGATCTATTAATTCTGAAATACGTCAAACTCTGACCTACTACTACCGTCCCTCTGAGACGCTGTTGACGCCCTGTTTTGCTTGCGGCAGGTTTGGTTCGAGGAGGTCTCCGAGTTCGTGATGACCTTCTGGCTGCGTCACAGCATCCAGGGCGAACTGGACTGGCACGACGCCAAGAACATCGCCCAGTCCAAGATCATGTACACGCTGCCCACGCCAGAGTACAAGTCCATGCTGACCGGCACCAGCTAGGGTCGGTAGAGACGGACTGAGCTGGGGGCTGACTGGGGAACCGGGATATACGGGGCAGTGTGCGCCAAGGCGGCGATAGCACGAAACTGAAGGATTTATGTAGACACAAGACAGCAAGGATTTTGTAAGACTGGTTATGCTCATGTTGACCTGATCGCCTTCCTCATAAGAATAGTACAGATACTCTACAGCAAGACGTAAGCCGGGAGTTACATAGTTAAGCTCAAGCGCACCATAGCCGCTATGCTGCAGTCGCAGGTCAGCCGTCGGGCTTCTCGTAAGTGTTAGATGTAAACGAATCATTATGTTAGACTGTTGTGTACGCAAAGAATTAATAAACGAGTGTAACATGATGAAGTGGCTCAGTAGCGTGAAGATATGACTAGAACTTTTCAAGTAGCCTGCCTTTGACGGCCTACTTAATTCCTTTGGGGAGCATGCAATATCTACGCGTCGAAGACGGGAAAAGTCCATAAAATTAGGTTAAAGATATGCATAAATATATTCCATCTTGCAAAGTGACACACAACAACAAAAACTGATAGGTCTCGGGGGGGGGGGGGGGTAGATTACAAGTGAAAACCGTAACTGCATATCGAACGCAAAGTGCCCACGGCGAATCGCCTACGAGAGGGTTTATCGCAACAAAAGGTAGCATTGACCGGTGTTTACCTTTTGAATGAAACTAAAGCCATTTGCCAGACGGACATAAGGTGAAGTGACCCAACACACGCGATAACATGGTAAGCCCACGACCATTTAATGATGATCATGAATTACCATCACCGATTGTTGGACAACAGAGCTGCAGTGGTCGGCACACTCTGTACAGTGCTGCAATACTCCTGTCACAGCAGAGCGGCACTGCTCCATTCAACACACCGCCAGCCGAGTCGGTACTGAGTCACTCCCTACACCTTGACCTCGAGTCATTGCGCTACCAAACACACCGGCGTCCGTGTCCCCCGTCCCCCCCCCCCCCCCCGTGGAATGCATCACTCCCCCGCCTGGACTCACGACTCGGAGACCAGGCCGCGCATCTGTCGGACGGCGGCCACCAGTCGCGGCGGCAGCGGGGGCTGGCCGGCGGCGGCGCTCACCCGGCCGTACTCGGTCGCCGGACAGCGCAGCAGCGTGCTCAGCGCGTGCAGAGACTCGGCCAGACGCAGACCCAGGTCATCCAGCACGTTACCCAGGTAGTCTGCCGGGCGGAGGGCGGAAGGGGCGGTGAGGCTGCGGTAACATAGACAGCTACCTATTTTCCGGTGGCTTGTTTTATCTGATGAAAATAAGCAATGCAAAGGAGAGCAAATAAAATTGATATACCTACCTGACGCAACAAATAACGTAAAGCAAAATAAACAAAGTATTAAACGAAAAACAAAGTTTGGTTAACAATAAGAAAAAAACATTTTGGGGACGGAAAACCAGTATATGCCTTAAGTCGGTGTGTTTTAGCCCAGTAATGTACCCAAGTGCTATCCAGCCAATGTGCCTTCTGTACCCACCGATATCTGCGACGAGCTGCCGGGTCATGCCTGCCGAGATGTGCTGTATGCGCACGATGGTGTCGGCGTACACCTGACAGGCGCCCTCGGACAGACAGCTGATGATGTAGTGCACCACGGAGGACTCGGACTCGCTCCGGCCGCCGCTCACACTGGAGCTGGGAACAGAATGGGACGGTTAGAGAGGGGAGAGAGGGGTATGGTAGAGTGAGGTGTAGCAAACATACGTGGGGAAACACACGGGTAGAAACAAGCTAGCTACATGACAACAAGAGTGACAGGCGAAAATACATCTATTAAAACACACCAATCAATTAATCATATCGATACTTTTTAACAAACTGTAAGCCATTTCTACCAAACGGAATGCAAGCATACTTAGTTATGTCGTTGACCAGACATGCGCACTTTACCTGTATGGCATGACGCCGGACTGGAGGGCTCGTCCCAGCGTGGGGTCGTGCTGGGTCATAAACGGCTCCAGGTGCTGCGGCAGCGTCATCAGGTACTGGCCCACCTGTTGGATACAGAATGGGCCGAGTTAGAGGAACGAGTTAGAGCCGTGACTGGTACACAGGGTATGACGAGCGAAGAAAGGCTATGAATCACTCGTTAGATGCTAACACTGCAAAATACAGCGACCAAAGTCAGTAGACATTTACCCTCAATCGCCAATGCATACGGCTTCAGCAGGTTTTAGAGTATTTACACACTGAAAAAAAGGATATCCGACAAGGTCCAAGCCATAAGTGTGATGAGCTCACTCCTATACCTGCACGATGTACTCCTGCGTACTCCGCACCTGAGTGATGTACTCCTGCGGGGTGTAGCTGAAGTCGGGCAGGTCGGCCGACAGGCTGGCGCCGGCGCCGCCGCGGCCCTCCCAGTCCACCGTCTCCACGGCCTTCAGCTGGGAGCGGATCGGCGCGAACATGGCCCGGAACGCCACCTTCTGCACCTCCTCGTTGGTGGAGTCCAGCAGGCGGTGGCACGGCTCCAGTAGAACTAACGAGTCACCTGGGAGGGGGGAGACGGGGGGGGGGTGAGGTATGGTAGAGTCGAGCAGACGGTGGCACGGCTCCAGCAGAACTAAAGAGCCGCCTGGGAGGGGGCGGGGGTGAGGTACAGGACCGTGGAGTCGAGCAGACGGTGGCACGGCTCCAGCAGAACTAAAGAGTCGCCTGATATACATGGCGGGGAGGTGAGATATACTATAGGTACGGAATGAAGAGAAAATGGGCCGTGTCCAAAAGGATACCCTACACTACATGCTTTCTCAATAACATTTTTTATGGGAGACAACACAGCTTTGCCTCAAGAAAAATAAGATAACTTTGCAAACCTGATGCATTGATTGATTGCATTTTCACGCAGACGCACCGTCCCAGCCCTACTCCAGTGTCCGGCGTGTGGACTCACCCTCCGCGACCCTGTCGACCAGCTGCTGGTACCGGCTCTGATCGCCGGCCGACAGCAGCCGCGCCGCGCTGAGGTGGGCCGGCACACCACCCGGCGGCTGGGAGAGCACACTCAGTACCCGCTCCTCCAGTCGGCTGGTCTGGGTCATCAGGTCACCTGGGGTCAGACACCGGGTCAGAGCACACTCAGTACCCGCTTCTCCAGACGGCTGGTCTGGGTCATCAGGTCACCTGGGGTCAGACAGACACCGGGTCAGAGCACGCTCAGTACCCGCTCCTCCAGACGGCTGGTCTGGGTCATCAGGTCACCTGGGGTCACAGAGACAGATCAGAGAGACACCGGGTCAGAGCACGCTCAGTACCCGCTCCTCCAGTCGGCTGGTCTGGGTCATCAGGTCACCTGGGGTGTCAGACAGATACCGGGTCAAGGGGAGAGGAAACACTGGTCTACGTAAACAGGTCACTTCGGGCCAGAGCAGACACCGGATAATTGCAAGAGCACACGACGTGCACTCGAGAAAAAGAGCAAAGGGTACAGCCAAACTTAATCCACTGTAACGCAAAGTAAGCTTTTAACCAAAAATACACACAAATCGAGACGCTCTCCACATCCTGTTGATACTCACCTATGGCCTGCAGGAGCCGCAGACTGGCGTGGAACACGGTCCAGTCGGAGCCCGCGCTCGGCTGGGACTCCAGCTGTTTGGCAGTGGCGTTCACATTGGCCAGCTCCGTCTCAAAGGCGCACTGAAATACGACAGGCAGTTAGCCAGACTTCTAGAGCTTCAGGGCATACCGAATGCAAAGAGGGCAATTCGCAGTAGATTGCGAAAAACTTTCGTCTTCTATATTGAAACATAGTTCGTTTTGCTTCCATTTTCCCGTCAAGTCACATATTCAAAAAGATGTCAGAAATTCGTCTTTGTAGCATTCTGCATAACCAGTGACCACGGTTCTCAAACGACGCACCGGAAGCAAATCGTTCATGCCCTATTCCAACCTACAAAACCACCCCTGCACCCTCTTTACCTGGAATGCGTCAAGCAGCTGCGGCAGGCAGTAGCCGTAGGTGAAGGACAGACACCGGTCCAGCGCCGAGTGTAGCAACGTCATCAGCTTACTGACGGAGGAGCCGACGGCGTCCACACGCTCCTGCAGGTCCGCGCTGGACGGAACTGACCGAGGGGAGGGACGGGCGGAAGTTAGTAAGGGAGCCTTCAGGTTACAAACGAATAATATATTATGCAGCATGAGGAGGCATGACGAAAAATTGGGATTGAAAGCCACTCCTGGCTCATTTTGTCTCATGACAAGTCCATTAACTATCTCCAGACACACGTTCCCCGACTCACCGAGCGCCTTGATGGTGGGCACGAGCAGCTGCTCCTGGTAGCGTCCGTAGCGCTGCAGCTGGGTCACGTACGGAGCGTAGGTCGCCTCCACCAGCGCAGACGCAGCCGGGACCGAGCCGCTCGAGCCTATAGGACGAAACGGGAAACATATGAGTTATACTACAATCCCAAACACTATACGAAAAAGAGTGTAGGTGCAGTCCCGTAACATATTAAGCAAAACGATAGCTGCTTAAAAGGTCGAAAGCATTTTTGTCCACGAAAACCGAAGCTCGATCCGTTCCAGGACTTCATCCACGAAGTCGATGTCCTCAGACGTCTGATGATTCCAAAACTGGCGAGTTGAGCCGGATCGTCGAACGCTCTATGTTACACAACTGACCTGCCGTGGCGTCGGCGACCTGCAGCAGTGTGGTGACTAGCCGGTCCGTCACCCTCTTACACTCCTCCAACAGCTGCAGCGGGTCACTGTGCTCCTTCGTGGCCGTGTCTGCGGGAAAGGGGACGGTTCACCGAGGAAATGGTGGAACCAAAAGTAACAGCCCGCCTACTTACTCGAAGTAATGAATTTGAACTGAAAAATACACACCAAAAGACTGCCCTGCGAAGTAAACAGTTTAGCCCGTAGCTACATACCATTCACGAAACGTATCGTCCTGCGTAGACGGTGTAGGTGAACAACAGTTTCATTAAGTTGGCGTTGTTCCTTGCGAATATAGCGATGACAAAACACCCTATCGTGAAATAGTAGCTCACCGAGACAGGAGGCGACGCTGGGCTGGAGGGAGGCCAGAGTATCGGCCAGGACACAGCACAAGGTGCTGGCCGGACTCAGGTGGGGCATCACCTGCTCCAGCCAACGGGTCTGTCGAAATAGACGGGACTCAGATGAACTCAGGTAGACTCATAAGGGACTGAAGTGGACTCAGGTGGGGCATCACTTGCTCCAGCCAATGGGTCTGACGGAAAAAAAACGCATCGGTACCGTAAATACTTGGTGCTCTAAATAACGACACATTTAAACGAATAGCTTTACTTCTGACAACTTAACGCTTCAATGACGACCAATTAGCGACAAAGTAAGCAGCGCACGCAGCATAACTTCAGAGGGTACGGCGATGAGGTGTACAGCCTCCGGTTGATCGTTCCATAGCTCAAACAGTGTGGTACGGTACTCAGCCCCCGTGTGCATTTCCCGAAGCTGACCTGCGTGTGCCACGTGTCGACCAGCGTCTCGGAGAATGCCGTCAGCCACTCGAGCACGCCCTCCTCCTGGCGGGCCTCGAGGTGCGCCGACCAGCGCCGCTGCAGTTCGGCGCGCTGGCAGCGCACGTAGTACTTCTCCAGCTGCGGCAGCCGGGCCATCTGCCTGAACACCTCCACCAGCACCAGACTGCGGGCTGGGGATACGACCAGGGTCAGCATGCAGTCACAGTTTTAGACTGCGGACTGGGGGAGGGACAGGGTCAGCATACAGTCACAGTTTCAGACTGCGGGCTGGGGATACGGTCAGGGTCAGCATACAGTCACAGTTTCAGACTGCGGGCTGGGGATACGGTCAGGGTCAGCATACAGTCACAGTTTCAGACTGCAGGCTGCAGCAGAGGAGGAGGGGGACAGGGTAAGACAATGGACAGAAACTAGGCATAATGCTAGCATGATTTTATAACTTTTTTTCTCAATTGCGTCAGTTTCCGTCGGAATAATTGCTGGAGACAAGCAAAAAAAAAAAACTGCTACCGATCGATTTTTTTAACACCTCCCACACCATCCCATTCCCGGTTATACCGCCGCCGACCTGTGCGTTGTTCTACGTACCCGTGTCGTTGTCGGTGATGGCGGCCACGAGGTGCGGGCTGGCCGTGGCCTCCAGTCGGTTCCTGTGCTCCTCCAGCGTCTGCCGGCGCTCCTCGTAGTCAGAGACGTGTCCCAGCACGTCCAGACTCTGCTGGAGAGCGGCCACCTTGTCGGCCATCTGCTGCAGGCTGCCACTCTCCAGAACCTGCATGGGAACAGTGGGTAACGGCGGGTTACATGAGGGCCCTGGACAGCACGGTACAGACTGCCGCTCTACTACACCTGAGGACGGCAGGTTACAGGGAGTAACGGTAACAGGCTGCCACTCACCAGAACCTGGGGACGGTGAGTTTTAAAGTTACGGGGTCTCCGAGCCACAAGATCACAGAGTTACAGGGTTACAGAGTTAGAGGGTCACCGAATCACAAGATGTGAGGGATAAAGTATGCAGACTACCGCCTTTCAAGACCTGCGAACGAGAGGAGCCGCGGGGTCACGGACCGACTCAGCAGCCGATGTGGGTGTGTCCGTATACCGCTGCCTATCAGTGCGTCTGATCTCGTTGCAGGATAAGTTCAGCTTGAGCTCCAAGAGGCTGACACTCGTTTCCGCTCATGTGGTTTAATCTTCTTTTCTCACATATTTTCCCGCCAATCTGGTAATGTCTTTCACACAAAATCACGTTGAACGCATATTTTACCTTAAGCGATTTTAGTTCCCGTAATATTCCGACCAAACACTTATATCCCTGGGTTCAGAGGGCGTCCCTCACCTCCTCAACGTCTGCGGAGAGCGTAGTCCAGTTGTCGGCCTCCTTGAGCGCCTGGCAGGTGCGCTCCATGCGCGACTTGACCGTGTCGAGTCGGGTCAGCGTGCGCATCGATTGAGCCGTCTCCTGCTCCACCTGATAACGGCGGAAGACGGTAAACATCGCGGGAAATCGAGAATAAGTAAGCGCATAATGCTGTGGGAATGATATTCATCGGCGAGAAACGCTCCTTTATTATTAATCATTCATCGGGCGGGAAACATTTCATCGTAAAAACAAGCATTCGTCGTGCATCTGATCTTCATCTGATACATACCTTCAGGGTCACAAATACGAATTCAGTTTACGTTTTACGAGTGTGTTCATCGCAAAAAAACGTCACCGAGATGCCCAGGACCTACCTTCACGATGTCGGCTTTTGCGACGCTCATCTGTTCGCGGAGCCGCGCGGCCTCTGCTCTGACCGCCTCCACGTCTCGCACCAGGCGGGGCAGGCTCTGGAGGACCTGGCAGATGACAGGAATAGCGTCACAGCTCAATGAACCAAGGTAGGCCTCCTTCACCATCTGAATGCAATTCAGCTTCAGGCTTTGCATGTAACAAAACATTTTGGCCCTTGTTGACATTGGCTGGCAGCAAAAAAGTAAAATTAGTAGGTAAAAAGGGACCCAGCAAAAGCATTGACTACTACACATGGGTGGTAAGTGCTCTTTGAAAACTGCCTATAAATAAAGTTGCATGCATTTGTGTACCTGATGACTTGTTTCATCCAGGGAGTTGTTCACTTCTTGAATAAAAAGCTGTAATTTCATTACAACTGTTGCAGCATGGCCCTGTGAATAGATGATCAGAACAGCTTCAACTAGATCACAGAAAACATTTTACAATGTTGCAAAACTTAACACACCTAATAGATACAAAGGCTTGAAGCTTCAACAAGTTACACTTGCAAACAGCATTCAAACTGAAAGCAAATGAGCCAATTGAGACATTGAGACAAAATATAAGTAGGGTTATTCAGTGCATTATTAACCAGTTAACCCTAAAATGGCTGATATAATGGAGTTATTTAAAAAGTATACCTCAGGATTTTCTTTCATCTCTGGTGCTTCAAAAACTTGGCCCACCCACTGCTTCACATCAAACTTCTCATCAGAAAAAGCAGAAAGATCCCTGCAGCAAAACAAAACAGGAAGACATCAGAGTCATGTCAGGGCACCCTATTGGTGGGAAAAACTTCCTTTGCTGTTTGAATGGCAAAGAAATGGAATGGTCACCCATCTACCTATGGTGGCTTGTACTGGTACCTACAGCATTATTGATCTGTTTGAACAGTTATAACAGTTCCCACTTACTACTGTAATGGTACAAGGCAATACAATGATACCAACATAAAACCAATGGAGCTTTAAAGTCAAAGTCAAATAAGCCAGGATTAGGACGTGGCCCCAACCGTGTGGTGTAGCCCCAACACTCACACCACACGGTCGGGGCCACGTCCTAACGCGGCGGGCCACACCGTAGCAATCGGTACAATGGTCAATGGTCAATGGACAATTAAGCCAGGAAATCCTGATCCAAAGTATCAACTTGAACTACTATTGACAATGAAGCTCAGAACTCTTTATAAAGAAGAGAAAAAACTATACTCAAAAACCTATACTGTAGCTCATAGGTAACCTATACTCCACTCACATTTTTTATTGGACAAGTTGGACCTGTCACAGCAGGTGTCAGAAAAGGCACTTCAACTTATCAGCAAACTACTGGGCACTGGCTGTTGTTACTATCACCAGGCCACATCCGGTGCAGGCAATAATGTCCTTCACAATAACTGCAATAGCAATTCACGGATGCAATAACAATATTTCCACAAACATGTATTATGATATACGCAAAACAAAACAAACATACAATTCCCTGCACATTCCCTGCCTACGTTTTAATGTCATTTATGCGCCATAGGCGTCTATATTATCTAAAACACCTGCTCGAAAGTGAGCAGTTTCTGCTTTCGCAGATCCATGCCGCTTTTGACCAATCAACTGTCTGAAATTCAATGTTACAAGTGCATTGATTGGAAAATCGTAATGAATTTCCTCAGCAACAGCACGAGCAGTATTTTAGAACAGAATTTATGAGAACAACTGACAAACACAAATCATTTTGATGACGTCAATAATTTGATTGAAGATTTTCTAATTTTTCTTACAAAGAACTCCAATTTCACTGTTTTTATTTCCGTTATTGCTTATCTTGACTCTATTATGATCAATCACTGATAAAATTTACTTTTCGTCCACCTTGTATCAAGTTTTTCTTCGATATCTGAAATACAATATTTTACTGATGACGTCATACAAAAAGATACTTTATCAAACCTTCCCTACGTCTCAAATGAGATGCAGTTTGGCTCAGGTTTGGCTCTTGAGTAATTCTCGTTGATTTTGTGTGAAAAATGTGTGGAGAGGGTTGGTGAAGGTTGATGGTTGAATATTTCGTTTATTTAACATGACGGGACTGTGCACTTTTGATGTTAATGTGCTGCTGGATTTTCATCGCGCCTGATTTGAAGGAAAGGTTTGTATTCATAATTTGAATTCATTTATTTTCTTTATATCGTTCTGGTGTTGAATGGTTAGCGGTTTCGCTGTTATCTAAATTGCTTTATTACATATGTACTATGTAGTATGGAATAAAATGTTGTCGAAATATGTTTTAGATATTTTAAGTGATTTCAGTTGATAACTTTGAGCCTTGAGGTGTCATTGTCCTAGCAAGACATGTTACTTTTTCGGAACCAATTGTAGGTAGGTAGGTACTTGGCTGCATGAATTTCATTGACTTCAAAACTGTAGCACATGCCACATACCTGTCTGGTTTACAGGGATTTGAGGTAGATTGTAAATATTCTTGAGGATTGAACTGTATTCTGTGATCGCGCGCTCTCACTCACCTCAAACCGTAGACTGGCGCTCCGCCGCTCCGTCGCCCAGGTCCCGGTCACGGCGGCAGGCGCGCGCAGAGGCGCGCCCAGGCACGCACACGCGGGGTGCCCCAACTTATACACATCACACTATCCCCACCCCACTTTAGTCTTCTTTTATGCAGTCCATTCGCACATACACACCACACTATCCCCACCCCACTTTTACCACCCTCCCCTGGTCTTCTTTTATACGGTCCATTCACCGTATCTATCTGGCGGGTGGCGTTCTCTCTCACTCCGCCGCAACTGCGTCTGTGGACGTTCTCCGATCGCTGGCTCGGCCGTGTTTTGATCCGAGCTCACGTCCTCTTCTTCCTCTTCCTCCTCTGAATCATCCGAGTCTAACACCACCTGTCCGTGCTCTCGGCCTTGCTCCTCGTCCTTCTTGCTGTCTCTTGTGACGCTGGATTTGTTTGGCGGGGATGATAACTGTCCGGTGCCCTTTCCATGCCACTCCTGAAGCCGTTCTTGTCTACGTTCCACCGGCTTTAATTCATCGTAGTGTCGCACATATCGCTGCCGAAAGTTGTCCTCCTTCTTAATCCGGTACGTGTTCCCCTGCCTGCAGCTAATGATAATAAACGGTCCCTCCCAGCGCGTCTGGAGCTTTCCCGGCATTCCTGTACGTTTTGGTACCTTCATGAAAACTCTATCCCCTTCACGATATTTCACCCCAACGTTCTTGAGCCTGCTTTTTTCAACGCGATCCTTCTTCTTGATCTCCTCTCTCATGATCACGTGTTTGTGCGCTTCTTGCAAATTGCGCTCCAGTTGTTTTACCCACTCCTGCTCTGATTTGGTAACTTTAGCACCCTCCAGCCGGGCCATCTCGGGGGTTCTCGGATGACGTCCGTATTGCAAATAAAATGGCGAATATCCTGTTGTGTGATGAGGTGCCGTCATGTACTGAAAACGAACCAACCCAATGCATGTATCCCAGCTCTCTCTATATTCCTGTGCATTTCTGCGCAACATAGAACCAATTGTCTTGTTCGCCCGCTCAACAGCTCCATTCGATTGAGGGTGGAACGCGCTCACTCTTTTTTTGTCGATGCCCATAGCATTGGTTAATGCCAGCAGATATTGATTGTCGAATTCCAGTCCTCTGTCGGTGAGAATAGAATCCGGTAACCCGTGTCTATAAATCACTTCGGTGAGGGCCCTGGCCACAGTCTCCGCCGATTTGTCAGGAATCGCCGCGATCTCAACACCCTTGGAAAACAAATCCAACACTACGATGGTGTAACGATTACCCCTCGTCGTTGGCGCACGGCCAAACGGACCCATCAGGTCCACGGCCACATGCTGCCACGGAGCCGTTGGCTGCGTGGTCATTTCCAGTGGCGCCTTGAGGCGTCGCTGAGGGTCATTGGACCGTGCACAAATCACACAGCTGCGACAGTAGTTTTTGATATCCTGGTGCATCCCCATCCATAAATATCCGCTCTCTCGCACCAAAGTAGTCGTTCTCTCGGCGCCAAAATGACCAGCTTTGTCGTGCTTTAGTTGAAGCACCCTCACAATCATTTCATCTGGAACCAAAATATACCTCTGAGCTCCCTTCTTCCCAATCAACAGACCACTCTGAACATCAATGGCCGGCTCAACACCCATGTGCAGCCATTTGCTAGATGCCCGTCCGTGCCGCCTGTGCAGAATGAGTTCGTCTCTCAGGGCCCGCATAGACTTGTTATGCTGTTGAGCCCGGAGAAACTCTTCGTTCTCGTCCTCTCTCCGGTCTGGCTGAGAGATTTCAGCCACCTGAGGCGGCATCACACCGCCACCAACGCCTTCACTCCTGCGGGAGAGTGCGTCAGCCGGACAATTATCAGCGCCTTTCCGAAAGTGAACCGTGAATTGGAATTCCTCCAGCTCCTCTATCCATCTGGCATATCGACCCCTCGGATCCTTTGTGTTCTTGAGCCACTGAAGACCGCAATGGTCCGTGAACCACTGGAACGGCTTACCAAGAAGGTAAGTACGGAACTTCCTGACAGCGAATATCAGGGCAAACATTTCCTTGTCACGAATATGCCAATTGCGTTCAGCGGCAGAAAATGTCTTGGAGGCAAAACACACCGGTCTGTCCTGCCCACTTTCCGTACGTTGCGACAGGACACATCCGAGTCCCGTATCCGAGGCATCTGTGCTTATTTCGAATTCTCTGGTCATGTCTGGAAGCTGTAGCGTAGTGGCCTGACAGAGGGCATCCTTTAGTCTCACGAATGCCTGCTCTCGGTCTACATTCCAGGAGAAACGCGCCTTACCCGAGATCTCGTGTAGTGGCGCCGCCAGCTGTTGAAGATTCGGCACGAAGTCGCTGTAATAGTTGCAGAGGCCGGTGAACTGCCGGACTTGTTTCGTTGTCTCCGGTCGGGGCCAGTTCCGGATCACCTCCACCCTCTCCGGGTCAGGTTCAAGACCTTCCGTTGAGACCACGTGACCAAGAAAACGAATGCGACGACGACAGGGAACCACCTTGGAGCTCTTCACCGTCAAACCTGCCTGTCTCAGTCTTTGTAAGACAGCCTGTAACAGTGACAAATGCTCGACTATCGTGGTGCCTCCCACAATAATATCGTCCAAGTACGCGGTCACGCCGTGTCCGAGCAGACCGCGCAACACCTCGGTCATCAGACGTGAGAAACAGCCCGGAGCTCCCTTGGCCCCAAATGGCATAACCAGAAATTCCCACTTGTTATCCTCGGTCAGAAACGCCGTCTTTTTCCGGTCTTCCGGTGCTATTGGAACTTGCCAATAGGCCGAATTCAGGTCCAATGTTGTGAAAATCCGTGAACCAGCCAAACTGTCAAGACATTCCTTCACTGATGGGAGGTACGCTACTTCATCTACTGTTTGTCGGTTCAGCTCTCGAAAATCTACCGCAAAACGATATGACCCGTCCGACTTTTTAACCATCAAAATTGGGGCAGACCATGGCGACGTCGATTTCTGGATTATTCCTCTTTCTTCCATGTTCATAATCTGCCTCCGAACTTCGGGCCTCAAATGATAGGGGGTACGGCGTGCTCGGACTGCCACCGGGGGGCGATTCCCAGTGTTGATCGAGAACTGAACAATGTTTGTTCGACCCAATTCGTCGTCTGTGTTTGCGAAAACATCTCGGTAACTGTTTAACAGCCTCCTGAGCGTTCCCCGGTCTCGATCGCCTAGTTCTGCGCCCGACAGATCAACCTGAACCGGGCCGTTTCTGTCTGGTTTCGTTCCGTCAGCCACTGCCGCCACTTGCCCCTCGCTGACTTCTCCCAAGACAGAGTTCGCATACAACCTCACTGGCTCTGCTCCAGCATTCTTCACAAGGACCGGAATCCTGTTATCGACATCCGACCGTGCTATACAGGGGCAGAGGGCGACACCAAGCCGCACCGCCTTCGATGGATCGGGGTCAAAGATGACATCACGTGCCGACGCCCCGAAATCAAACGCCATGACGTCGACCAGTCGCTCTGAGAAAGGATCCAGGGTATAATCTGATGCCAAACAGACGGAAACCGGCTGCTGCGGTGTACCTTCACGCCTCGCCTCCAACTGGATGCAATGACTACCGATATGTAGAGACCGCTTCGAAAAATCCACGCTGAATGTCTTGAACTTCCTGAGCACATCCGTGCCCAGGATTGCCGGTGCCGAGAGGTCCTTGACAACCAGAATGCGAGCGTTGCTGACCGCGGCTGGTCCGATCAGGAGGTCCGCTGAAATCTGGCCGACACTCTGCAGCGGTATCCCGTTAGCTCCGATTGGATTCTGCTCAGCTGTGGAAAGAGGAACGGAGCTGACTCCCGGTAGAGCCGCCGACACGCACGAGACCACCGCGCCCGTGTCCACCAACCACGTACACGGCAGCTTTCCAATACGACCTCTCACATGCAGAGAACAAGCCGAGGGCCCTTCAGCTGACCGCACCGGTAGAGCAGTACCAGTTCTGAGGCATTTTCCTTGAGAGCTGGTTACCGCCCGCCCCTCGGCAGTAACCCACTTCAGTTTAAATTTAACGGACAATCGTACTGAGTGTGGCCGAACTCATTGCATCTCCAACAGGTGACCGGCGCTGGACGGCCTCTACCACGACCTACCGGTGCCCTGAAACATTCCCTCTGCATGTGTCCCGGTGAACCGCAAGTCCAACATGTTCGACGTGATCCCCTCTCCTCTCCGCCGGTGGCCCCCGGCCGCTGGCCACCGGTCCGTCCACCTCGCGCGCTCCTGCACTCCCCCTGGACGTGCCCCTGCGCACCGCAGGTCCAGCACTGGACATTGGCCGAGCCGCGCGATGACGTCATGGCGCCTCGGGCTGCGCCGGCCGCCGGTCCTCCACGGGTCGGCCGAGCCCGCGGGCCGCCGGACTGGATCGCCTGTACCATACGCGATAATTCAGCGACCTCTCCCCGCAGCTGGGCTACCTCACCACCCTCCTCTGCTCCTAGCTCAGTGACCTGTTGTACCGGCGCATGTGACCCCGAGGACGCCAGAGCCTCATCTACGCGTCGAGCATGCTCCGGCAACTTATCAGCAGTGACGTCGGGAAACATCAGGCGCAACTGGGACGACACATTTGGATTGATCCCATCCAAAAAACGGCTTTTGAGCAGCGTCTTGGCTACCGGGGCGTCAGTATCAGTGCCTGGAAACGCACCACGGAACAGAGAGCATAAAACAGACAGGAACATGCCGTATGTCTCCTCGGGCTTCTTCCGCCGTTTCTCGAAACTCTCCTGGTACCACCTGGTTGAGTTGCCGAACTCCCGCCTCAGGGCTGCCTTCAGACTTGCGACGTCCTTCTTGTCATCTTCCGAAAGAGAATCCATCACACTGATTCTCGATCCAAGGCCCAGTAGGGCCTTCCCTACCGCCTTACTTTCGTCTCCAACGGTGAGACGACACGCATCCACGCGTCGGAGAAAACCGTCCAGATCTTCCCCGTCCCCCCACACCAATCGATTGTCTCGCTCCATCACTGCACTTATCCCACCGCTGCCACCAGTGTGATCGCGCGCTCTCACTCACCTCAAACCGTAGACTGGCGCTCCGCCGCTCCGTCGCCCAGGTCCCGGTCACGGCGGCAGGCGCGCGCAGAGGCGCGCCCAGGCACGCACACGCGGGGTGCCCCAACTTATACACATCACACTATCCCCACCCCACTTTAGTCTTCTTTTATGCAGTCCATTCGCACATACACACCACAATTCTATAAGTCAATTTTGAATTTTGATAAAAGTGAGGTCCTCAGGGATCAGTCATGATCAGTGTTGGGTCCAGGTCTCTACTATATTTGTCACTTAGTTTCGAAAATCTAGAACATGAAAAATTAATGTGAATCACTTCATTGACAAAGGTGCCTGCAAATACATACCAATGTGAATAAACATATCAATATCGGACATGATGCATACAAAGGCCCTTTTGCAGATGCATAAATATGGATGAGCAATATAATTTATTTGATGACACTATTATGAGTGTACCTACCACCATCTCCAACGGGGCCTTCTTCCCTCTACCTCTGCCTCTCTGTGTGTCTGGGGACTTGGTGTCTCTTCTGTGCCTTTGAGGAAGCTGCTGATTCAGATGTGCCTTTGAAGGACCTGCTAGCCTCTCTATGTGCCTTTGAAGACATGCTAACCACTCACTGTGCCCCTGATAGACCTGCTGACTCCTTCTGTACCTCTAAGGGACCTGCTGACCTCTCCCTATGTCATTTCCAGGATTGTGACCTCGAACAGTGCTACCGATGGCGTCGTCGCCACCTCCATCGTCCGGGGGAACCGGGACGGACCCGGCCTCATGCGCGGTGAGCCGGAGTCGGTCCTTCTGTACAGCAGCGGCGCCCGGCCGACGCGTCGTATCCGCCACCCTGAGCAGCGACGGTAGCTTCGAGTCGGACGTCAGGTCAGTCTCGGTCCGGCGGCGGACGAGAGGGACGCTGGCTGATCTCGGGTTACGATAGCAGAAAGGGTGGGATTAACGGACAGCCTGCATGGTTCCGTTCGCTCGTACTCACCGCGTGTGGAAGCTACTTACATGCTGTCAGGTCATGATGTCTGGTGTTGTATACGTGTGCGATGATTCTCCAGTGTATCGTTTTATGAGGGGTGTAAAAGCATCACAAGATACTCGTGTCCGGTTTCTCCGTGGAGATCGCATTTCTCTCCGGATAGCGGAGTCTCCACCTGATCCGTCAGCGTCGCACCGGCCTCAGACACGTGGTCGGTTCGGTCTGCACCCTCCCGACGGATCCCGGAGGGTCTGGCGCCGCATCCTGTTACCGCCGGGTCGGGACGGCACAGCAGGAAAGGTCAGCACGGGCCGGTGACCTATCCCGTCTCCGATATAGTCACGCCGGCTCTGAGTCAGATGACCGGACGGAAGTCGTGTTGCTGGTGGGTGACTCGGTTATGCTAAAAGAAGGATTAAATTGTGGCTAGAATATCTTTGAAGTTTGTGGTTCTGCAGATCTTGATCCACTCCGTCAATAATAGACTCACTGCAGGATAGTGCGGGACTCGGCCCCGGTCTCCGGTGAGCGACAGACTCACTGCGGGATAGTGCGGGACTCGGCCCCGGTCTCCGGTGAGTGGCAGACTCACTGCGGGATAGTGCGGGACTCGGCCCCGGTCTCCGGTGAGTGGCAGACTCAGTGCAGGATGTCCGGCCGCCCGTCGCGAAGATAACATTGTTGCACCGCAGCCGTGCATTGTCACGTCACCGGTGCAAACCCTCGTGTAGGAGCAGCAGTTGATAACAACTGGAACTGCACAACGCCGTGTTCACTTAATCTCCGTGCATAATCACGCATGTTTTTGCTGCAGCTATTAATTCCTACGCAATTGGTTGGGTGCGGGGAGACCCGCAGGCATACCGAGCGTTGGCCTTGAGTTTCCGTGGCGGCGTTGGCGTCATGAATATCGCGTTTGCCATTCTGCGGCTAGCGGAGGTTTCCGGCACTGGGAGGAAATTGGGCGGGCTATCGGCTCGGCGGCGATAGCTGAGATCAGCGCCGACTGGCGGGGAGGCGGGGCGGCCCGTTACCCACCGGCGCCGACCCGACTCCGTGCCGGAGAGCTGTTTGGTGGTCTGAATTTTACCGGGATCCGCTACTGCCTTTGTGTGCCGACGTTTTAGAGTGCCAACTACGCAGTAACGGCGCTGTGACCCGCACTTTGCGGTGGCCGAGTGTGCGGGTCTTTTCTACCTTTGTGGCTCCATACGGCCATTCAACCCGAGCGAGTGCTCCAAAGTGCTTATTACCCAGGCACGTAAAGTGTACTCAATTAGGTGCCGTCAGCCGTGCTGTCCAAAGTTAGATTTTTAAGCTTACGGTAGGTCTTGTAAGCGTTTATGGATTGACAGCTGAGTATCTGGACACTGGACGATCTTCCATTTTCGTCTTTTGTGTGTTCTGAGATAGAATGTCTTGATCTTGCATTAGTAGTGTCTTCAATCTCCCTGAAGACGCGCCCCGTTCCGTCCGAAGCAGTACTCTCGCGCTCCGTTGACGGACCAAAGTCCGGCTGTCGCTGAGGCTGCTCGCTGTCTGAGATTCGGGCGTGCTCGGCCCGGTACGCCCCGGCGCGGCCGCCAGGGTCGGAGGGGCTCCCGGCACGGCTGCCATTGGCTCGATGGTGCTCATTGAACGTCGACCGGGCAAAACGGCGCCCGGTGCCAAACGCCACAGGGAGACGGTGCGGTGCGGCACGGGCAGCTGAGGTGCTCCCGTGGTAACTGAGGTAGTCAACAGTATCAGCTGTCGTGCTCCCACGGTACCAAAATGTAGCGAGTACTGCGGTACTCACTATTTACTGAGGCATTGCGGTGCTCCTAAGACCTAAAGTAATGAGACGGACGGGGTACTTCGGTACTGTCTTGATATGGTACTGCGGTGACGAATCGGTTACGCGTTGCAGTACTACTGAACTGAGCCCTTCAGTCGTACTGCTGGCTTCTTGGCTGCGGAGTCCCTGGGCTGTTTGTCTTTGATGGTCGAGCGCTGGGAGCGAAAGTAATGGATCGCCGTCTGTTTCGTAGTTGTAGGTTTGTTGACGGGTGTGATCTGGTAATGGTGGGCTACCTCCGCCCGAATTGGGTGGTTCCCCGCCAGCCAGCTGACACGTTGTATACCGACACCCGATGAACGATTACTCAGAGTCGGGTTTTGTCGCAGCGGCGGTCATGGTAAAATGCCGAGCGCCATAGTGTTGGCTTTGGTCGATAGCGGCCCGTGGATGATCGGTGTTTTTTATGTGGTTTACCCATGGTGGGGTACCTCACCACTTTAAATGGTAATGAGACGGGCTACGTTTCCAAGGCCATGTGTTTTGGAAGCCGGGGAGGTAGGAGTCACTGTCCGTAGCAAATGAGCAACATTATTGCTTGAAGCCTATACCAGGATCTATGAAACCGCCTTCAACACCCAAAAGCAGGCTCTATTCAAAACCCGTCTCCGTATGTATGCGTTATATGATCTCAGCCTCAGTTGTACGGGACGGACCGTCGCCCTCTGGACCCCGCGGACTACATCTGATCTCACGTGCTCTAGTGGTCTCTGGACCTCCGTCGAGCCCACCTCTGGCCTCATTTTGCTCTCAATGTGCCGTGAAGTAGCTGTGTACGCAGTGAGTCAGGTCGTCTTTAGCTGAACTCTGCTGAATTCTGAGTACTTGTGACTTGAGTCATTTCCGTGTGTGCGTTAGAGCGTTAGGTATGAGCCTGATATGGGCCCTGGTGACTGTTCTATTTGCGCCGGCCCCGCTGGCTGGGATCAGCTGGTTGCCTTAGCAACAGGTGCATGCCCCGACCCGTCTTCCGTCTGTGTATTTTGGCGCTCCATGGGTTCATGTCTTGCAAGCATGAATGGCCCGCCGGTGTCCTTTCCTCGTTTACCAACATCAGTGTTTCGTTAGTAGCATCAGTGTGCATCAGTGTAACTGACGTGAGTACGTGCGCAGCGATCAGGTCGTTGACGCGGGTATTTACGTCAGTAGATGTGTATCGGCGGGTGACGGAGCCGCGGCACCCGGTCGGCGGTGTGTTTCCTCCCCCCCAGCCCGCCGTCGCTGAGTGTTTATGTGTACGTGACCGGTTGGCTGGCGGCCTCTTATTCCACAGGTACCGCCTGCTGCGCTGTGTCTCCGCCTATCCGCTCTCCAGGTAACCGGCACCGCTCTCCGCACCTGTGTGTCTGTGTGTCTGTCTGTGTCACCTTCTGCTCTGTGTAGTCTATTCACGCTCCGCGGCTGTATGACCGTCACCGTGTGGCTTTGTACGTCTGTGTCACTGCAGCCCGCTCCAGCACTGCTCTGTGAGACTCCACGGCACAGCCCGGCGTCTACATTCGGCTCCGTCCCACCGCGCCGCGCTGTTAGACACCGCCCCGGTGGGAACTCATGACCAGAACCGACCGCACCAACCACCCAATGTTTGGATTCGTGTTGCGAAAGTGAACGCCGAGCACTGGTCGGCTAGTAGAGAGCTGCAACGTGCAGTGAATCGGAGACTTTTCCTCTCGATTCGCGGTCTGTTTGAAGTTCTGGATGGCGAATTTTGATACCTTGGTCCTGGTGGGCTGTGTAAAGTTCCCAGCTCGGGCTATTACTGTGCGCAGCCATGCGGCGGTTTCTGGTCATTTCATTCACCGTGTGACCGCGGGGCCCTGTACTGGCGGCACGCCGTGCGCTCGGTCCGGCACTGAGCGACAGCTGCGCTCACGGCACGGCTGCGATCACGTCTTACTGCCGTATTGGCGCGAGGCCGTCCTTGTGCCACCGTCGGCCGGCCTGTCACATGATCCTTCACCCTACGGCCAGTGTCAGACTGTCACTGTCACCGGACCGGCCGTACTGATTCTGTCACTGTCACCAGAAATTGCACCCTGCACCTGTGCCGAAACTCTGCACCCGTGTACACTCACTAGTTACACACGGCTTGGTCACAGCATTGTGCATTACGTCTCCCCGTCACAGTGTTGTGTGCCGTGCATTGTGGCGCGTTTGCTGCACTCTGCACCAGCCTCCAACTCTCCACGAGTCGCTGTAAGCTCAGTGTTGTCGGCAGGTGCCGTCGCTCCCCAGCCCGCAATATTTACGCACGCAGTTTCGGACCCGTTGGCCTTGCGGCGCGGCGTGCGTCCCGTCACGAACTTTTTACCCCGGCCGGCCGGCCGCCATTTACAATGCAAATTAGTGCGTCGGCTGCTGCTGCTGGGTATCAGTTACGGAGCGCTCATCGCTCCTCCCCCGCTGCCCGCACATCATCGGCCGGCGGCCCGGACCGCGGCTCGGCGGTGCTGAGCTGGACACTCGGCTGTCAGCGGCCGCCGCACTAATGGCCGCGCTCCGAGAGTGGCCGCCGCCGGCCATCCACCGAGCGCGACCCGCGCCGTACCGAGCCGGGCCCAGTCCGGATGCGGCGCACTGTTTACTCTCCTGCGGAGACGTGCAAAAACGGAGCGGTCCGGCGGCCGGCGCGGCGCGCCCGTGCGCCCGCCGACCCCGGCCGGCGCCTGCTGCGCCCCCCCCCCCCCCTGATTATCGGCTCTCTGTCCGGCTGTCACTGGTGCTCCGTCGGTTACAGCCAGCAGGGACTGCTGTAGTCGCCCTGTGGCTCATTTCCATCCGGAATCCAGAGTCTGTCCCTATGGAATTCATCTTAACCATCCTCACATTTTTCGCCGCTCATTCTCATCCCTCATTTCATATTGACAGTTTTGCTGCTTTCCCCGTCGAGTCATCAATAGCACTCATCCTGTCACACGTGGTCACCATTTACTTTGACCTGATATCATCTACAAGCACTCTTATTTCTGTTCCTGTGCTCTACTGAAACACCGTCTTCTCGGCCGTTCACTGTCCTCTTTCATCCGTCCACCAGCCACCATCCACCGTCCTCCGACCGTCGTCCACCGTCCACCGTCCGCTGCAAACGGTTCCGCCCGGCGACTCGGCTCATAGCGGGCGGCGGGCGGCGATCTCCGAGCCCCCCCCCCCCCCCGTCCCCCTCCTGTGCCGACCTGGGCGGGGCCGCTCGCCGGTTGCGTCAGACCTCTGTGTTTATCACGGCGTCTGTCTGCCGAGACGGTCGGCAGGGGAGAGTCGGGTCGGTACTGTTCCTACTCTCAGCTGGGTGACCAGGTCACGACTCAGTCGGTGACTCTGTACTCCCAGCTGGGTGATACGGTAGCGACTCCGTTAGTACTCCCAGCTGGGTGACCCGACGACTCAGTCGGTGACTCTGTACTCCCAGCTGGGTGGTCCGGTAGCGACTCAGTCGGTACTCCCAGCTGGGTGACCGTCACGAGGAACGACTCAGTCGGTACTCCCAGCAGGGCGACCCGCCACGAGTCATTGCGACTCCGTGGCGTAGGGACAGCGTCGCTAAGAGGTGATCTCATGACCGGAAGCTCTGTTTATTATAGGTTTAAGCAGCTGATAATATATCTCGGAAAAGATGTAACTTGTCCTGGCATACCGAGCAAAATAAGACCTTCTCCCTGATTGTCAGTGACCGAGTCCGCTCCCGTGTCCTCTCCGTGTTTTATCGTCCCCGCCCGGCGTCCATTTAGTGCCGGTCTGCGGTGTCCGGTGGTCGGTTTGTTTACACCTGCTGGGTGGGTCGTGTCACGTGTGTTTGGCCCGTATCTCGGCCATTGGACCAGTACTGCCGGCCTGTGTTATAGGACTGATCTCTGGCAGTTCGGGTGACCAGTGCTGCCCTCAGCTCGATAGGGTCAATTGGTTTGGGTGGCAACAGCGCCGCGAGCTGCTCTGGTGTGGAAATTTCGGCGCTCGTTTGGGCGGCGATGATGGGTGCGGCGCGCCGGCGGGTGTTATGAGTGTTATGGGGTCACTGTCGACATAATTACTGATCTATTGACGCATTTATCGTGGGATGTGGAAGTTGTAGCTTATATGTTGCAAATTTCTTACTTTAAAACAAACTAACGTTTTAGATTTATCTTTTTGTTTCACACTTTTTAAATCTTAGATGCGATTTCGTTTTTTTTTCACGGTCTCGCAATGTTTGGTCAGTTAGGTCTAGCTGTCAGCTGATAGCCAGGCAGGACTCTAAATCAGGGCTGAACGAGGTATTTAGAACCAAACGTCATCGCACAGACATGACATAAACCATGCTACATTAATGGACAGGGGGTTTGATGGAATATTTGCGCCGCGTATTGTTTGCACAGTTGTCTGTGCTCTGACACTGTACAAATGGATTGCTCTTTGTGAGTGACGGATCATGTGTTATTGATCGGTGACCATTGACCACCCATTGTCCATAAACGGGTACTGCCGTTGTCCCGAACTCAGTGCTGGTTTCAAATTGAACCGTCTTTGACCGTCAGCGCTGCCTTCTGGCGTTCTCTTTTCAGGGTTTTTCCCTTTGATGCTATTTCTGGACGCTGAGCAAAGTTTCGGTGTAAAGAGTTTCATGTGAGAAACGTTGGCACTATTAACCTCCCGGGCCGTTTGCTCCCTTCACTGGCATGCGTTTCTCACTGACCGATTAAACTAGTCCCCAAAACAGGTGGACTATTCCTCCTATATCGTATTGTTTCTCATCTTCCCTGTCTTTCTTCTCACCCTCCCCTTACGTCTCGTTTCTAGCCGGTACTCGTGGCAGTGCTCGGACGTTCTCGGCCAGTCCGTCCGCTCCCCGCGCGAGTCTCGCCGCTGGATCGGTCTGCCCGGCGACTGCAGGGTGCCCAAACAGCCCAGCTACCGCCGAGCGCTGGCCATGACCGACGCACTCATGACGGTGAGTAGGGGGGGGGGGGGGTACAGGGAAGACAGAGAAGGGCCCAACGGATCAGCGCATACAGTGTTTGGTGTTTCTGCACGTGTGTCTTTTCATTATGTCAGTTCCCTGGTTTAGTAATCACTAATCACTCATCATGCGACGTCTATGCTCTATATCAGGCAGCTTTTGCCAAATTGTCAGGGAACTCAGATTTGTTTTTCAATAGAAAAACACAATTCTAAAGAATAGTGTTTTAACTATTGACAACAAACCTTCGGTTATTTTTAGAGGTGTAACCAAGTCGCATAAATATTGTCTAACTGCTCTGATGCTCCCATTTCGAACAACTTCACGCCGATAATTGTTCCCTTGCTTCGCCTCTTGTGGCGTCCTTCACCTTACTGAAGTTTACCCCATCGCTGACGGAGGGTGGCACGTGTGCTCAGTTTGTCGCGTGCCTCGAAAGGAAATTGTGTCTCTGCGTCAGTGAATCAACCACAAAAATGTCTTTGTTTTGTGATGACATTGCCGGTGGAGTGATGTGTGGCAATTTTCCTGGGTGTCTTCTTTGAAAACAACTTCAGTCTGTCTCAATGATGGGCGTTAAAAGGTTCCACGAATGTGTCCCGATATTAAATATGTACGTGTCCAGTGTTCTGTAAATCCTGTTCAGATTTAATTCGTGCTCCATGTGAGTTGCTGACCAGTGGTGAAAGGTAACACGACCTTCATGTCCTTTGGACCCACTCATCACTTTCTGTGTAAACACTGTGACGGCGGGTCAACTCTGGACAGATCTGAACTCTGTGGGGAGGGGAGAGAGGGTTGCTCGGTTAGGGGAGTGCAGTGGTTCAATGCGGTCGCACTCGTCTCTAACATCTGTGAAGTGTGTTGGAGATGAGATGTCATTCTAGCGATGGTTCGTTGGTTATCTCTGCAGGAATCTTGGGTCATCTCTGCCATAGAAAAACCCCAGGAACTCCGTGTTCCCTGTAGGGCTCGCTCGCTCCAGTCAACTTTTATTTGATAAAAGTTTCTTATGAAGCGCATCGCTTTAGTCCCCGCTGCTGTACGTGTGTACTGTGTACAGGTGGCGGGAGGAGTGCTCCGTCTGGGGTGCCGCTCTGGTCCCCGCTGCTGTGTGTGTACGAGTAACGGAGAGGAGTGCTCCGTCTGGGGTGCGGCTCTAGTCTCCCGCTGCTGTGTGTGTACGGATGGCGGGAGGAGTACTCCGTCTGGGGTGCGGCTCTAGTCCCCGCTGCTGTGTGTGTACTGTGTACGGGTGGCGGAGAGGAGTGCTCCGTCTGGGGTGCGGCCCTGGTCCCCGCTGCTGTGTGTGTACGGGTGGCGGGAGGAGAGCTCCGTCTGGGGTGCCGCTCAGTCGCGCCCGCTGCCCGGTGACCGTCCAGGCGGGTGCACCGAGTGTGCAGCTGTCCGCCTGTATGTCCGTCCGTCCGTCCGTCTGTCCGTCACCACCGCGCCGAGACCGCTCCGTTCGTGTCCAGGGATCAATGGAAACGGTCGGTCCCTAACGGGCTGCTCAGTTCTGCAGAAACGCGGCTAAACAGTGATAGTAGGGGGACGTCACACTGTTCGTTATACACAGACTGGCACTGGACAGCTCAGCTCGCAGATTTAACTGGTGCTCACTGCCGAAGGAAGTGATCGGGAACGCTTGAGAACTGCTTGGACGTTTTATCAATTAATGCCACATATGTTGTGTTTTTGACGCTGGTTAGATTTCCCCGTGATTATGTGTCTGATTTCCGTGGTTATCTTCCTGTTTCTGATCTATTTGCGTGGCTGAGTGGTTTATGTGGCCGTAATTAGACGGATTGTGTGTCCATATGCCTGTCTGTAGTGCGCCTTCGATGCCTGTGTTAAGTGCAGCGAGTCGCTGTCTATTCAAATGGTCAGGTTCTGTACAGGAAAAACGGCAAGTGTCTCGATGGCTGCAGAAGTCATTACAGGTCCAACGTATACCAAAGTTGGTCGTGGACCATTTACACACACCACTCAGACTAGCCATCAATCACTGGTGTGATTCATGCGGTGCCTCCCCACCCCCATACCCCACCCCACACCAGCTGTGTCGTCAGATCTCCGCTGTGCAGTATAGAGACTGACCTCTCCAATCTCCTCCCCTCAGCTGGCCAGGGTGGGTGGGAGTACTGCTGTCCTATACTGACCCCCCCCCCCTCCCCCGGTATACAGGGTGTTCGGGAGGCCATTGAGCTGGAACGTCACGAGGTCCAGCTGCTGAGGGACAGCCTGGACTCTGTCTCGCTGCACTCTGCCCAGTCGCAGGGCCGGCTGTACGAGACGGAGCGCCGGCTGCGCTTCACCGAGCGATACGTGAAGCGACTCGAGTGTCACCTGGTGGAGATCGAGCAGCTGGCTGAGCAGTACGGCAAACAGCAGCGGCTCAGGGAGGCCACCGAGAGACTGGCGGCGGCCTACAGCAGCAGCAGTGGCACTCAGGTCAGTATTATACCAGTCACACCACACAGGTCAGTACGGGAAGCAGCAGAGGCTCAGGGAGGCCACCGAGCGACTGGCGGCGGCCTATAGCTCCAGCAGTGGCACTCAGGTCAGTGGTGCTACTAAAGTACCGGTACAGCCGCACTCAGGTCACGCCGTCTGTCCTGTTCTGTTCGTCCCACGCCTAACGCCCTAACCATCAGTACCGCCGCCGCTGCGCGTCTCTGTTCGCCGCCTCTGTATACCTGCCGCACACACGCCGTGTTTGTCCTGACATGGAGCCCGCCCGACGGTGATTGTACTGGGATGGAGACCGTCTGGGCCGCCCACTGGACCATGGGCTGTGCTGGCAGTGAACCCGGCCTCTGCCATCGACCCCTGACGACTGTTGTCCTAGACCTGCTCTGTTGACAGTGACCTATCCTGACTTTGACCTCTACTGACTGACCCCGTGACCCTGTGTGACCCACAGAGCCAGCGGGGCCTCTCGCAGGCTCGCTCGGGCTTCAAGGAGTGTACCGACGAAATGTGTCTGATGGAGGCGCAGCTGGAGAGCAAGATGGGCACGCTGCTCTTCGAACTCAAAGGTGAGGCATAACCGACGAAAGGCTCGATCACGATTTAGTGGGCATAGTAGACCATCTGGCACGCTTTGGGGTGCGGATTATTTAACTGTTTTGTGAATTCAAGGTGCTGAGACTTGTGCATTTGTTAAACTCCGATAGGCAGCTGATAATCATAAACAGAGTGCAGATAGTACACGCTTGGGTTATACAATGCCTATGACTTTTCTTTGGTTTGACTCGGGATATCTTAACTCCTTTCCTTTTCTTGTTATCCAGGTATCCAGGGTTTCGCGCGCCTGTGCGCGGGTGACGTGTACGAGATCTGCGTCCGGCTGGGCAGTCAGGAGTGGCGCTGTCGGGGCACCATCGGCAAGGACCAGCAGCAGCGCTGGAACCGGCCGAGGCGTATCCTGCGGCCCACACTAGCCGACCAGCTGGTTATCAAGGTCAGTTGACAATGGTGGTAGAGGCTGGGAGGGTCAGACGGGTCAGGTACGGGTATGGGGAGAGATACCTAATGTGCACGGGTGTTGAAAAGTCATTGCTTTAATGTGGGTAGCTTAACTTGCTAGTTGTTGGAGTAGGTATCGCACTGCTGACTCCTGAGCTCTAAAGCTGGTCCGTAGCTCACTGAATAAACATAGTCTGCCTTTACCCTCTGGTTTACTCAGTGTATCAAAATCATATTTTTGCTTGGGTGTCAGAGGGGAAAATTGCTGACCAAAAAAAAAGGATGAGAGTGAAAAATTGTCGGTCAGGTAAGGCCCCGACGAGGTTAATGGCCCATGTGGAGTTGTCTGCCTTTGTCAATACAATGCAATACAATACAAGGCCCAAAAAGAGTGGGAAAATGATCAAAAACATTAATCTATCTACAATTGTGACAGATGTAAAACAACCATTCCCGCAATTGCTCCTTCTCGGTGGAATTGGGAGTGGAAAATTGGGCTTGAAAACTGGAGGTGAGAGTGGAAAATGATTTGCATTTCGATGTCGTTTCCCACCCACATCTACAAATTTTGGGACACTGGGTTTACTTGATATGTTTTTCCCTGGCTCCCTTTCTGCCCGTAACTATCCCGCTCACTTTGATTAATCGGTATCTCCCTGTCTCCCCGTTCCGGCAGGCGTCGGAGGTGAAGACGCTTGGTAAGCACGTGCTGGGTACCAAGGTGTGTGAGATCGGCGAACTACTGAGCGCGCACACCCAGCAGATGGTCATCTACCTCAACACCACCGGCTCCCTCAAACTGACACTGATCGTCACGTGGAGGTGAGGAGACTCGCTTAGTTTGAATTATCGATGTATTTTATATCGATGTATGGTAGCTGGTAAGTGGTAAACATCTTTAAATTACAACCTGCGAAACTGTATAATAGCTTATGTTTACAAGACTGGCTAGTTGAAGAACAGTTTGTGTCTCATTTACTTAGTTTGTAGACTACGGCGGTTTTTTGCTCGGCATGTCTCACCGTAATATCCTATGCGAGTTGATCGGCTGCATAATATGACCCCCACTGTCCTCACAGTCTCGTTACCAGAGCCCCGCTCCGTTTCGCAGCGCGATCGAGACGTTCCCGGAGGACACTCTGAGTCGCCAAGTGTCGGCCTCCAGTCCCGGTCTACGCCGCAGGACCACCATCAACTCACCGCGGCTGGGGCTAGAGGCGAGAGCCGCCAACATGAAGGTGGGCAGAGAGGCGACGGGCGGCTGCCTGCTGGCCGGGGAAGGGCTCATGGGGTGGGATGAGGTTCATCTGTGAAGGACTATCTAAATGTTATTTGTATCGGAGGCATCACTGCCAATTGATTGCGGACTTATTTTCCATTTGTCCTAGTTTTGGAACTTTCCATCTAGAGTGATATTTGACTTGCAATGATTGACGTAGTCAGTTGGTACGTGATCACTCGTGCCTATTATATTTTGTCCGGTAGTCATCTAGGCTCTGAGTTCCGTTTAATACCGTCTCTTCCCCCGGCAGCTCTCCAGCGGCGGCAGCAGCGACTCGGCGCTGATGTCTGGCGGCAGTGGCAGACTCTGTGTCTATCTAACTCTGCTCTGTATCCCTCAGCTGTCCAGTGGCGGCAGCAGCGACTCTGCTCTGGTCTCTGGCGGCAGCGGCAGACTCTGTGTCGATCTAACACTGCTATGTATCCCTCAGCTCTCTAGCGGCGGCAGCAGCGACTCGGCGCTGGTCTCGGGCGGCAGCGGCAGCGGTCTGGGCAGTCCAGACTCCGTGTCCGTCACATCGTCCGACTCGCAGGTCAACCTGGCCGACTCCACGCCGGACATCCTACGACGCACGCCAGGACAGACGGTAAGACAGGCACTGGACCTCTAGAGCAGTTCATCCCTCCCGCACAGCCGACGATAATTTCTGGATTGCTCGCTAAAAGGCTTCGATGCTCTTTGACTATTGTTGGTTGATCTTGGCGTCAGTCACTCATGGCTGTCTTATTGTGAGATGCTTGAGACTCATTCAGTCTCCAGCGTTAAACACAACGCTTTTGCCATGCTGCGGTAGTAACTTTACGTCAGCTTATAACATTCTAAGAACTACATCCTGTGTATGAACTATGTCCTCCACCGTTGCATATCTGTCCTGACCCTTTCCTCCCGTCTGATGTTCCAGTCGTCCCAGCAGTGGCAGCGAGACAGCTGCAGCAGCGCCGGCAGCGCGGACGGCTCCGCGGAACCCGACGACGACTCCGGCACCGCGTACACGCTGGAGAAGCGGCCAGAGATGAAACGCGACTGGTACGCGACTGCTGAGCGCAAGAACCGAGCGAGGAAACAGCAGCAGCAGCAGCAGCAAGCGGCGACCGAACAGGTGGGCGTGGGGGCGGTGGGGCAGGGACGGCTGTAGGGAGGATGAGTCTCATTTGTATCTGTAGGTGAAGTAAACAGAATCATGGATTCGATGGTCAATCATTTTGATTCCTCTGTTTCTTCGAGCGATGCTAAACGAAGCATTTTAACATGTACATGTAAGATTTTCTGTCGGCCTTAGGGCATCTGTCTCACCTCCCCGCGCCCCCCCCCCCCCTCCTCCAGCCGTCCGACCCGGCCCCGCTCCCGGTGGGCTCCGCCCAGCTGTGGCGGGCCGTCTGTCTAACTCCCCCGCGCCCCCCCTCCTCCAGCCGTCCGACCCGGCCCCGCTCCCGGTGGGCTCCGCCCAGCTGTGGCGGGCCGTCTGTCTAACTCCCCCGCGCCCCCTCTCCCCAGCCGTCCGACCCGGCCCCGCTCCCGGTGGGCTCCGCTCAGCTGTGGCGGGCCGTCTGTCTAACTCCCCCGCGCCCCCTCTCCTCCAGCCGTCCGACCCGGCCCCGCTCCCGGTGGGCTCCGCTCAGCTGTGGCGCGGCTCTGGCCGGCTGCGGGCCGTCTGTGCCGCCGTGGCCGCCCGCCTCTCGGCCTCTGACCGCTCGCCGGCCGAGGCGCGTCTGGGCGCGGTGGCCGCGCGGCTGGCGGCCCGTCCGAGCGGCCTCGGTCGCCGCTGGTCGCACGACTCGGACGTCAGCGTGGAATCGGCGCTGGACAAGTTCAGCTTCCTGCAGGGGGAGCAGGAGGAGGGCGAGTGCAAGGTGGGTGGTCTGGGTCAGCCGGGTGGATGAGTTAGAAGGTCGAGGGCGGGGCGGTTGATGCCGTCTCGAGTGGGGTCCTCTAATACTGACTCTGCACCGTAGCACGAGTGCTCCAATTGAGTGCTACGTACCGTGTTACATCTTCAGTTCTTGTTTTCTTGATTCATGAGCAGTGTCGGTTACCCGCTTTTATCTGTCACCTCCCCTCTGACAACCCTTCTCGCCTCCTCAGCCGGACCTGTTGGAGCCCGGTATGACGGCCCGCACCTCGGACTCGGGGATCAGCTCGATCGTCCACCAGTTGAGTGAGGAGCCCGAACGGGAGGCGGCCTCTGGGGACGGCACGGCCGACTCCAGTCTGGGTCTGAGCGAGACGGGCAGCCTGACCGACCTGGCGCGGTCGGCGCTGGACCTGTGCACCGAGCTGCACCTCACCTACTGCCTCCGGCTGCTGGAGGTGAGCGGGTGCGGGGTAACTTACCTACTGCCTCAGGCTGCTGGAGGTGAGAAAAGGGGAATTCTAGGCATGCAAGCTGGTTGGCAGGACTGTAGGGAGTTCTAGGATGCCGGAGATGTTTGGTCGCCAGTCAGTAACTGTCCGAATATTGTCAACTGTTTCATTTTGTTGTGCATGTCAGCAGTCGGCTCGTCTGTCCATATCTGTGTCAGCGTCGGTATTCTGTACTCTGCCCGTGTGTCGGATTGACATGCTGTCTGACCGGCTGCGTTCCCGGCAGGGTGTGTCGTCGTGTGGTCCGCTGCGTCTCCGCTCTGCCAGCTCTCTGCGCCGTCTGGAGCGTCAGGTGAACCTGCTGGAGCTGATGATGACCGGCCCGCCGCTGGAGGAGATACTCAACGACACGCAGATACTGGTGAGCAGGGTGGGAGTGGCGACTGATAGTGCGCTGTCTCAGGGTGATAGGGTTAAGTTTTGATGGCATAAAATGACGAGCGCTTGAGACGGCCAGCAACTTGGAAGTGTGATGGGCCCTCTTTTTACTCTTCCGTTATGTGGCTTACAAGTAACTGCCAAGAATGTGAGGGCCTCGCTATCACTTCCCTCTCATTTTTTTTTTCAGACGCTGTGGCAGGACCTGTGTGAGGGGGCGCCACTGTACCACGTGACCTGTCGCTCTGTTCTCAGACGCTGTGGCAGGACCTGTGTGAGGGGGCGCCACTGTACCACGTGACCGCCGGCGCGGCCTGTGAGCGTCTGTCGGCGCTGCTACAGCCGCGACTCGAATACCGGGACGTCTCCATGGCCAGTAAAGGTGGGTAAGCACTGAGCAAAGCCCTGGCTTCAAACGGTACAGTGTTTAGCTGAAACTTTTGTGGGATGGCTTGTTTCTTGACTGGGCTGGGGTACCAAAATGTTTACATGGCCATGAGGCTCAGCACGTGACTAGATCGGTTCCCAGTGCTTTCTTGACTCGACTGTCGGCTGTATATTTTTTTCGCATTGTTTCTAGACTAGCTGCTGATCCAAACCTCGATATAGAATAATGGTCAGGGGACCCTATATTGCCTGTCGTTTCAGTCTCCCGTCTGATAGTGTGCGGGTGTCTGGATGTGTTCCACTGACTGTCCCTCTCTGTCCCCAGTGTCCCGCCTCGTGGTGTGCCGGTGTCTGGACCCAGTCCACTGGTGACCTCTGTCCCTCTCTGCCCACAGTGTCCCGGTTAGTAGTGTGCCGGTGTCTGGACCTGCCCGAGTTCGCTCCGGACCAGCAGCTTACCGTTTTCGCCCTGCGGGACTTCACGGACGGCACCACGCTCGACAGGGTCGTCGAGGACCTCTCAGAGGAAGGTGGGTGTCTGTGGACACTGTAGGGGCTCAAAACGAGGTGCTAATCCAGGCTGATGGTCTGGCACTGGGTACTGTTTGGCTTACGTTACTCCTCCTATTAGCTGTTAAGAATGAGTTGGATAGGCCACAGTCTTGTGAATCTTATCTCCAAGTGCGAATAAGATACGCCATTCGATCGAAGTACCACGCAAGGAAAGCGGCCTCTTCTAAGGAATTTTATGGACAACAAGTCAAGAGGGCAGAACCAGCATCACAAGTAATGAGGATGATAATTATTTAGGTTTCATGCTCTCGTCTGTGTCACGTTCCTCATATATAATGATGCTGCAACCTTCTGTGTCTCGTTTTCGTCCTTGCCGTGCCGTATTGATGCCCTTTCCGTGGCGGCCCGGTAGGTCGAACAGTCTTGCCCCACCGCCGTACGGTTAGCTATGCATTGGTGCGTGATAGGGCGCCGTTTGCGGGAACGAACGGCTTCTCCACGACCATGCATTATCAGTGTGTTGTGCAGGGCTGCTCATAGACAATCTATTCGATAGCTAGGCTGACTGGACATTATTCCTTGCGGAAGGGTTCCCAGTCAAAGTAACTGACCCTTGACTCTTTGTTTTAGTCCAGCTGACGGACACGCTGCATTCACACAGCGCCGAGTCCATCAGCCGCCGTCTGACTCTGACTCTGACTCTGTTTCCAGTCCAGCTGACGGACTCTCTCCAGTCTCATAGCGCCGAGTCCATCAGCCGTCGTCTGACTCTGACTCTGACTCTGTTTCCAGTCCAGCTGACGGACACGCTGCAGTCTCATAGCGCCGAGTCCATCAGCCGGCGTGTGACTCTGACTCTGACTCTGTGTTTTCAGTCCAGCTGACGGACACTCTCCAGTCTCACAGCGCCGAGTCCATCAGTCGTCGTCCGACTCTGACTCTGACTCTTTGTTTCCAGTCCAGCTGACGGACACTCTCCAGTCTCACAGCGCAGAGTCTATCAGCCGTCGTGTGACTCTGACTATGACTCTTTTTCCAGTCCAGCTGACGGGCACGCTCCAGTCTCACAGCGCCGAGTCCATCAGCCGCCGTCTGACTCTGACTCTGACTCTGACTCTGTTTCCAGTCCAGTTGACGGACACCCTGCAGTCTCATAGCGCCGAGTCCATCAGCCGGCGTCTCTCCCAGCTGGTGTACATGCCTCCCCCTGCGGCCTGCCTGCGCGTGGTGTGCCAGCTGCTCAGCTCGGCCGGTCCGCGGGTCACGGAGACCGTCTGTGGCTGGCTGAGGGAGGTCAGCCGCACAGACTGCATCACCGGACAGGTACGGAACGGTAGATAAAAGGACGGGTCACGGAGACCGTCTGTGGCTGGCTGAGAGAGGTCAGCCGTACAGACTGCATCACCGGACAGGTACGATATATCGGGTGTAATTATGGATAGATCTGTACCGTCTATCATCGGACAGGTATGTGCTTACTGCTCACTGCTGTTTACCCAGAGGATGCGTAAACACTAAACGGTAGGTATTTACCGGAGGGGTGTAGAATGCTTCTACCGGAGTAGATAATAATCTCGCGAAAGAAACTTTTCTAATCCTATATTGGGTTCGTGCCAAGTCTCGTCCTGTATGGCCGTCACTTCCCTGCTGTTTGTCATACTCAAGTCACCCCGGACATTGGCTCTAGCTTCCCGGTACGCTGGTGTTCCCTTATTCAACGCCGCCAGCCCCTCTCCCCCTCTATCTATCCCTCGCCTCCGTCACGTTTATATACCTTATATAACCCGGCCGTCCGCCATCCATGGTGATATGTCATATGACCCCGCTGACCGACGCTCCTCTATCTGAATGTACCGGGGGCCTGCCTCTATCAGTCTCACCGCGGCGGTCCTGTAGAGGCCGGGCTTAGGGTACGAGCCGAGACGAACCGGGGTCGGGAGGTTCATATTCACCGATGAGTGATAGCAGACACATATGGAAGAACGATCGGTCGGCCAGAATGGCAGCTGGTAGCTGGTTAGGTGTTGTGATCGGGTGCTGTGGTTAACGTCTGTGTTTTGTTTAACGAGCCTGGTCTGCCTGGGGTTATGAATGGGACTGGTGGTCTGTCCGCTGTCAGGGTTGTCGTTTTGGCACGTGGGTTTCATTATTAGCTGTTCAGGCGCTACTTTATTTGGTAAACTGTTTATGATCTTACAGTGATTACAAGAAGTCTATAGACCGACATTTAAACGTTGATCACGGCACCATTGCATGACCGTATCAATGTTTGTGCCCTCTGTTAGTTGTTGCACCGCCTTGCTACACTGTGCTGTGATTGTGCTGCCCGTGTCTCCGGCTGGCTTCGTCATTGCCGAAGTCTAAGGAAGCCGGTAGTGTGTTGTGTTGTCCTGTGCTGTGCCGTCCTAACTGTATGCTAACCGCCGCTCTGCTGTCGTTCCAGCTGATTCCCTCACTACTGGAGCTGCTGGAGTCGGACGAGCCCGGTGAACGGGAGGGCTCTGTCCGCGCCCTGCTGCTGCTGGCCGGACCGGCGCGGCTTCTGGAGCCCCTCCAATACCTGGTCTCGGCCGACCCGGACGGGCGGGTGTGCGCCGCCGCAGAACTGGGGCTCACCGACATGGGAGCCGACGGACGGGCCGCACTACAACAGGTCAGAGAGGGGGAGAATAGAGGGAGGGGGAGGACCGCCGAGCTGGGGCTGACGGAGATGGGAGCCGACGGACGGGCCGCCCTACAACAGGTCAGAGAGGGGGAGAATAGAGGGAGGGGGAGGGCCGCCGAGCTGGGGCTGACGGACATGGGAGCCGACGGACGGGCCGCGCTACAGCAGGTCAGAGAGGGGGAGAATAGAGGGAGGGGGAGGGCCGCTGAGCTGGGGCTGACGGAGATGGGAGCCGACGGACGGGCCGCCCTACAACAGGTCAGAGAGGGGGAGAATAGAGGGATGGGGAGGGCCGCCGAGCTGGGGCTGACGGACATGGGAGCCGACGGACGGGCGGCGCTACAACAGGTCAGAGAGGGGGAGAATAGAGGGAGGGGGGAGGGCCGCTGAGCTGGGGCTGACGGACATGGGAGCCGACGGACGGGCGGCGCTACAACAGGTCAGAGAGGGGGAGAATAGAGGGAGGGGGGAGGGCCGCTGAGCTGGGGCTGACGGACATGGGAGCCGACGGACGGGCGGCGCTACAACAGGTCAGAGAGGGGGAGAATAGAGGGAGGGGGAGGACCGCCGAGCTGGGGCTGACGGACATGGGAGCCGACGGACGGGCGGCGCTACAACAGGTCAGAGAGGGGGAGAATAGAGGGAGGGGGAGGACCGCCGAGCTGGGGCTGACGGACATGGGAGCCGACGGACGGGCGGCGCTACAACAGGTCAGAGAGGGGGAGAATAGAGGGAGGGGGAGGACCGCCGAGCTGGGGCTGACGGAGATGGGGGCCGACGGACGGGCCGCGCTACAACAGGTCAGAGCGTAGGGAACAGAGGAGGAGGGAGGGAAAGTGCCGGGGCAGTTCGACGTCGCTGGATGCGGATGGCAGCTCCAGACACGGTCGTAGGTTACGTAGCGTAGGGTATTGCAGTATTCTTCATGGGCCCGTACATTTACGTACCGTAGTCAGCTGCTCACAGCTCCATACCACGGTACTGAGTGGCGTGCCTGCTCTATTTTCTGCCTGGAGGCTGCCCTAAAACGCAGCGTAGGTCACTTAGAGGACGGCTGGAGCAGTACGTACTACGTACACAGCGTCTCACCGTCACGTCCTATCTGCAGGCGCTGACTGACTGATTCAGTGCATCACGCAATGCTGATCGCAATGTGCATAGACACTGTTCCCTAAGGGGAATACGATGTTTATATGCATGACGCCCCAGTCACTACACCACCGAAGAAGGCACCCAATGGCGATCGGCGATTTATTCATTGCATTGATTTCTACTAGCTGCTGGCCTCCACTGAATTTAGATGAAATTCCCACATGTAAATGAGCCATGTGTTTTTCGCGATATGGAAATTGCGAGAGGGTAATGGTGTTATCGTGTTTGTCGGCTGCCCGAGACATCACAATGCGGACATCAGGCTACTGCGTGTCGACATGCGTCTTAACCCGGTTGATAAATGCCTCGATATATGTAAGCGCAACATGTGTTGGTTAACCGTGACAATGTAAACCATATTTTATATCACATCAGTGCTGGTCATCGAATCTGTCGTTTGCGCTACTGAGTCGTGCACTGTGCAGTGCGTACTCCTACCAAAACTAGTTAAAGGCATTAGGCAACAAGTTTAAATGCACTAGTCACTAGCTTACTTTACAAATACTAAGCTTACTTATATGGCTCATTTCCGTGAAATCGCGTCTCCCTAATAGACCCCTGTCATACTATTTCTCGGGCTGAGAAATGCTCGCTGGTAGGTCGTGCGTGCATCTCCCTCAGTCTCGCCGACTGAAACTAACTCTCTGTCCCAAACCGTGGTGTGCGGATGGTATTTTCAGTCCACTACGAAATCGGTACTGCTAACAGCGTTGGGTAGCCGGCCGTCATTTTTGGAGAAAGTATCGACTGTAACGTACAACCCTCCAATGGGTCTGCTAGTAGGCCCGCTCAGTAGCTCGTCACGCACTGGACAGATAACTATGCAGACGAGACTGGCAAGGGTCGGTCGAACCGTTACTCTGCGGTCCTGTACCGGACTCTATCTCTCGGAGTTATCACTCGTACGTGGCCTCCACAGCGTTCCCGGGCCTTGGAGAGTGTTGAAGACGTAGTTTCTCGTTTCATTCCATCACAAAGCGACATCAGCAGCCTCAGACGGTCCGCCGCGCCGCGCTGGTCTGACTGCCGCCCCGTATCGGCGGCCGCCCGGGTCTGACCATCGCCCGGGGTCGGGGACTTGCTAATGCGGTGTGAATGTGGCCCGGCGCTGCGCAGTTACGGGGTTCTGGAGGGACGGCACTGGCGTACGTACGCTGCGGAGACGACACCGGGCTGATTGACAGGAGACATTGTCCCCACTGGGGTGGACCTCACTGACTCGCTGGCTGCTCGGTTCGAGTGGCTGGAATGTGCCTTGATAATTAGGTTTGCAAGGTTGGCTGCTGCACTATTTGATGTGATCGAAATGAAGGACGTTGAAATGTTCCGTCGTTTCGATTGGCTTGTAGTCTTTTGCTAATGACCGGTGTCACTTTTAATTGTGCTTGGAGGTCTTACTGGTTCTGAGATACGATATTTTTCATTGTCTGGCAATTTTTGTTTCGCCTGCTCGCCCGTGTCCATCCAAACCCCTGTCTCAGTGTCCTCTGTCCGGTTATGGTATTGACGTCTGTATTGTGTCCGTTACAGGCCCGGCTGGCCCGCGCCGGCCGCTCGGAGGAACCAGCGCCGTGACAGACAGAGTCCGCCCGACGGCCGCCACATGACAGCTGGCAGCGCGCTGCTGACAGCTGGCAGCGCGCTGCTGACAGCTGACAGGGAGCTGCTGACGAGCTGCTAACAGAAGATCGGTGTACAAGTGCAGCTGATGAGGCAATGTCAGAGCAGCACTGGTCGTGACTGCGCACACTTTCAAGGACTACAACGAATAGAGCCGGCCGGTCGGTCTCGTGGGCTGCTCGTAACTTACGATAGAGCCAATTGAGGGCCGGCGCCGGCCGCTGCGGAGAACTAGGCATCTCTCAGTGGTAGCGTATTGAAGTACTCAGTATTGGATGGATAGGTACATTGGATAGTGCAGAGACTGAAGGAATCAGAGGACTGGTGAGGCTTTACTGCAGCTGACCCGTGATGGAAACGAATTGCTGCTGAGTAGGAGCCTGCTCCTGCATATGTGAGAGTGATGAGCAGGTGAGCCGTGTTGTAAAGTGTTTAAAGAGTATCCGGTGGCCCATTTAACTCTGTCAGCGAACTTACCCACTGGTCACCAACACCAAAGTGCCTACTCCCCCTCTGAACATTGTTGAAACCTGTTTACCTGCCTCCCCGCCGAGGTAGACCTCCACCCTCCCACCGTTTAGTGTGACCCGGTCAGGTCGGGCCCGCCGGCCGACCGGGCCGCGGGCTGTACGAGCGCTGTCACTATGTGGCAGTGAGGCTCACCCCAACGGGTACGCTCGAGCTGATAGCTAGCCAAAGGTAGCCTGACTAGTTGGGTAGTTAGACGGCGGTCCTGTCTGGAAACCGAGCGCTGTTGAGAGAATGGTAGGCTGGAGTGACGTTTGTTGATCGGCGCTCGTTCGTGGCTAGCTGACAAGATGCTTGATTGTTCTCCGATGCGATGTTTGAAATTGCAACGACACAGGTATTAGTGAGCGAAGTTTGCGCTGTCCCTGAGCTTATCAGTAGGTGTTTCCGCTGACACGGAGTGGCCAGCGGTATGTGCAGATCTGTCCCCTTACCATGTCGACAATAATACGATACTCAAATTTAGCGGTCTACTTAGCTGTCCTGCGGCCAGGCGGGATGTTGGTCTCTGTCCGGCGCGAGCGGCTGTGTTCGGTTTACTCCGGGAAACGTGAGAGAACTGGCGTCACAACCGCGATCAGAGACTGCAGTATTTGCCGTGTGATGTCTCCGTGCCGTCTGAGCTATCCTTTAGTTGTTTTATTTAGCCTGGCTCCGCCCCATCAGTTGCTGTGTTTGTTTGGCCCGGTGTGTTTGTATTACCGATCTGTTTGTACCAACTGATCTGCAGTCTTTAGAGTGATGCAGGATTGTGGTAAATCGTCTCAAATTGCGGATCGTGAAAGGCACAAGTTGTTGACCTGATTGTTGGGCATGGTGCCACTGAAGAGAACTGTGTGGATAGTATATTTGCATGTTATACAGACTAGACGCGTTACCTGCGTACGTTGAATCTTCCCCGCCCCAGTGTTTGACCCGCAACGCAAATAACAGTGCTGCCTTGCTCGCTGAAATAAATACCATATCTGAATGACGGCGCTTTCCATTGAGCTGTCAAGCTCGTGTCAGAAGCACTTCCCAGAATGAAGATATCAGTACTTCACGACTGGTGTGACTTAATTAAATGTGACGTATTTGACAAGCTACATACATGATGCAAGTGTTCTACTCTTCTGTTGGAGCACGTGTCCAAAGTTTTACACATGTACCGGTGTAAGCCTATGTAAATCAGACCACACCGGCCTAGTTCTACACGCACATTTGCATTACTCTGTCATTGTGGATGACCTCGACTGGGACATTGTCAGAGCGGCGGACGTGCTTCTGAACACGCTCATTGCCAATAATAGGGTGGCAGTTAGGGTCCAAGGACGCGGAATACGACACCGAACAGCTGATGTGTTTGCGTCACTGATCAGGGACGCTAGATTCCTACCCGTTTGACGATCTGTAATGTATCGATAGTACTCGATTTATCGATGATGTCGACAACCGAATACTATCGATAATACCGACAGGAGGAAATACGTGAACTGTGAAATGCGCTCATCGCGCCGTGGCTTCCACGCCGTATCGCGCCGGACTTACCACGATTTTCCGCGTCCACGCAGCTTGGAAAGGGAGAGGGGTGTCTGTTATGAACGTCTATTTACACACGGAACACCAGCCTGCCTCGCCGCGCTGCGTGGCTAAACTCGGCGACAGGCTGTGTGGTGACAACTTACAACTCAACTTAAAAACGGTAGAGCTGATTAGGTAAGCAGTAAGCTTCTCAGTTATTGGATATGCTACACACCAAGGCTACGACAGTGACATTGCACACGACGAGAGTGTCATCATATAACCAGCAAACAGCAACAACAAAAGGCGAAAGGAATGATGTTAGCATATAGCCTCAAGATCTTATGATAGTGAGCGAAATGGTGAGCTGGTGCGAACTTACTAATCGCAGCGTGGATAGTAAAACATCAATACCTTTAACAACATACACAACACAATGTTCATACACTTCTTAAATTACGCGACCTTAAGGGTACACGTGAAGCGACATGGGTGAAACATGAGTGACAACATTAATTACAGCACGCTCCGTTCATCTGGCCTAATGACCTTATTCACGCCAATATGCCCACATATTCCCTTACTGGCCGGTAGTATAAAATCGCTGGTCGGCCTCTCAATGACTGAGGGCAGGTTGCCCGGCCGGCACACGCACCCCTCAGATTAGTTATCGGTTATGTAGTGACGGTTAACTGCGGTGATGTAGTGACGAAACAAAATACTATCATCTGACGAGCTACCAATGAACTGAGTCACTGTGCATCCTTACATATACGTTCATACCTCATACGTTCATATCTCTGCAGTGTTCATACCTACAGGGTGTTTCACAATAAACGTTACTTTTGATAAGCTTTTAAAATGACCTCAACTATTCGTATGCCCATAAATTCTATATTCATTTTGTTGCAAATTCTTTCGGGTTTTTTATCCTTACAAAAACTATGACGAATCATCAACTGCATTCTTTATGTATGTACGTGCAATGTCCACACGATCAAAACGGGTCAATTCGCTGTTAAGCTTCAGGGTCCTTCACAATGAATGTTGCTTTTCAAACGACGATGTTTCAGTGACATGTATTACATATGGCTCATGAGTATTGCCACATGACACAGTAGAACAGTAGGACTGATGAACATATAACTTTCAGTTCAGCACCCTTCACGGGTTCTCCACTATGCCACCCTTCCGTCTGACCTTTTCAACCCGATTTTCTGGGATCGCCGTCTGGCCAGGAGGCGGGGCTGGTCTCGTGTTTCCAGTCTTCTGGAACCTTTCTACCACCCGTTTGAAAGACATTTTTGACGGAATATCCTTCCTCCTTTTAAAATGGCTACCGAAGTCCGAAACTCCGTCGCACTGCGGTCAGACTCCGCAAAGCGCCGTAATGCATGACCACCCATACCGCCTCATCATCTGTACACGGCGAATTGACCCGTTTTGACGGTGTTGGCATTGCACGTCCATACAGATGGAACCGTTGACGGTTTGTAAAAATAATATAAGGACTAAAAACCGCAACAAATTTGCAGCAAAATGCATATAAAATTTCCGCGCTTACGAACACGTAAGATCTTCATTTAAGCTATTCAAAAGTAACATTTATTGTGAAACACCCTGTATGACTATTATGCGGTGTTCGCTAAATAGTAATTACAATTTACAACGCTTCAGACTAACGAAGCAAAAGTAACATTAGCCCGTGCTAGGGCTATGACTTACCTATCTTAGCCTCAACATACAATAAATGTGGTACTTGTCGGACTGTTGTGTTTTTACGATCGTTTTAAGTTTAAAGTGACTTCAAATGACAGAACTTTGTGACTTGCGGAAGGTAAAATGTTCCAATTGGCTCACACAGTAGAAATGAACCAAAAGAGGTGATGGACCAGCAACAATTTTCGATAATAAACGATGAGTATATTGCATTGATATGTTGCCATAATGGCGTTGCGTTGCGCAATGCGCGCTGGTATCGCCTGTCTAGGCTAGTGTCAGGTCGGTGTCAGTGTCACGTTCAGAGCTGTTCACTCGTCTTTGACTCGTTACCGGCGGTGTGTCAGTGTCAGTGTCAGGTTGGTGTCAGTGTCAGTGTCCCGCTCAGAGCTGTTCACTGGTCTTTGACTTGTTACCGGCGGGCGGCGGCGGCGTTGTGTCAGTGTCAGTGTCAGTGTCAATGTTAGTGTCAGTTCGGTGTCACGTTCAGAGCTGTTCACTGGTCTTTGACTCGTTACCGGCGGGCGGCGGCGCCGGTGTGTCAGTGTCAGTGTCAGTGTCAGATCGGTGTCACGTTCAGAGCTGTTCACTCGTCTTGGACTCGTTACCGGCGGGCGGTGGCGGGGCGTCCCCCTCCTCCGGGTCGTGGACCACAAAGAAGCGCCGGTCGCTGTACAGATCAGCTGTGTCCAGCTGCTCCCAGACGCGCAGACGCAGGATGGCACCTGGGGACAGTGGCTAACGTTAACAAGCGCACACACAGATAGAACAGCCATCGGTTCTGATGCTCTCCGGGTTGGGGCGACGGCACCGGATATCCGGAAAATCACGGTCACACAGATCACGCGAACCACCAAAACACACTGACGAATTGCCGCCTACCACAAACACAACACACGAACGCGAGGTTTATGGCATTGAATCAACAATCAAGCACGCACAACCACATGCCCCGAGGCCCGAGCTGGGTGTGAGCGTCCGAACATATTCGGATTACCAACAGGATCAAAAGCTGAAACGGATGTTTTCAATCATTCTAGCGCCGCTATATGACCAAGGCTGACCACTGAGAGCTGCGGCGTCACTGGACTCGTCCTTTGTTTGATATGCCACCCGGTATCCATCCCTACGTCCTATGTTTAGCGAGACATATATGTACATACGTGTATAATAATCCTACACAGATGCCTACACCATATAGTTATAGTCTCTCATGCCCATACACAGATGTTATTCGATGCCTCGCGTTTCTGACAGTCCGCCAGTCCCTCCCGTCCCTCACCGGTGACGAGTCCTGTGACGATGGCGATGGCCAAGGTAACCATCAGCGTATATGTGTCACACTGCCTACCCCCAGACACTGGAGGTCTATTACCCCGTGTCTGCCACACCAGTCCCTCCCGTCCCTCACCGGTGACGAGTCCGGTGACGATGGCGATGGCCAGTGTGATGATTAGCGCCAGGATCTGCATGCCGCCCTGGTATCCGGCCGAGCGGCCCGCCTGGGTGCCGTGCTCCGGGCCGGCCAGCGCCTGGGCAGTGGCGTTCTCCATCGGCTCCATCGCCGGGAAAATCACGTACAGACTGATGGAGGACAGAGAAGAGAAAACAGATTAATTAAAGGGAGATTATGACCTTTTTCCACAAAATCTGAGTTAGGACCATTTTCTGACAAAACACAACAAGTTATAATGTAAATTAAAACCATTTTGCTCAATTCGGTACCTTGCCGCAAATATCTCAACTTGAAGTCACGTTAGCGGGGAGCGCTGAAAATGACCGTTGAATAAGTACTTACATCACTTTTTGGTACTTGCATGTAATTTTGTAAAATGAGCGTATTCCTCACATTTGATCTTCATCACATCTAGTTAGTTAATGGTCGTCTATAGTGCCTTCAAAAGATATTAATGGTTTGGGGGTGGTTTATGTCTAAATTTACGCAACTATTTTTCCTGTTCATCATCTGTGGCCATATGCTGCTATTTTAGTAGCAACGACTCAATTTTGAATCGGTCCCGCCGACTGCACAATAAAAGAAGATAGATACAACACTTTTGCGGCATCACTGAAAAACTTATGCAGTACTGTTATCAAAATTCTCATAACACCGTTCGACAAACCTGAAGTCTTTTTGAAATAAATATGCTTGTATTTTTCGCTTCAGGCTCTGAGGCCAAAATAATGAATTTCGTAGTCGCAATCGCAAGATTTGGCTGCGTTTCTGGCGCATGCCGTTCATTTGTGGCGCAAAATAATACTTGGAAACAAAGAAGAGTAGGCACTATGTACCCCCGAATTAGAATCTAATTAATTCTAAACCGAATTAACTCTAATTCAAATTAGAATCCTTACAACCAAGCAACGACAAGGCGATAACATAAACAAAAACCCAAGCGTCGCTGTTTGAAACAAAAGCGCCATATACTGCGACTTTTTTATAGAGAAGGACAACGCATTTCGGTGGGTGTTACAAGTACTGCAAGTACTGCTTCTTTTTTGCAAAAATAAAAACATTTTTCACATACGAAACTGTGCTAGGAAATTTTCATATTTTATAGAAACTACAGTAGAAATAGTATAGATGTCGAGTAATTTTTATTTAAGAAAAAAGAAAGCTCATTATCTCCCTTTAAGCTGGCGGAAAGACGGTGACAGACATATCGTTGACAATCAAAACAAACCTTAAGGGACAAGGGCTTTAATTGCTACACCGCCTCATAAGTTCAACTGTATCTAGGAATTCATCCGATTTCCGGATGATGGAAGAGAAGATTTAAATTTGTATGCTGGATGAATTCTGTCGACTGTCCAACCCTTTCCCACATTTGCCCCAAACAATGTTTGACAGCAACGTCAGGACTAGCAGGTTCCGACTCCATTTGTTCGTAGACGGCCATCGTATGGACGAATTAAAACGGCAGCGTCAACCCACCTGTCGGCGTACTGCTCGTGCGTGGCCATGGCGGCCATGATGGCTCCCACGATGCCGGCCAGCACTCCCGGCATGCCGTGCAGGTTGTGCACGCCGCACGTGTCGTGCACGCGGCACCGCTCGTCCAGCGCTGGCTGGAGGCACAGAACGGGAGATAGGGTGATACAGTGAGACGAGAGAGTTAGAAGGTCAAGCATCAACACGACTTCCGACACACACCTGGCGGGATACCTGAACCAGACTCGGTTGTCGTCACTCGGTATTCGGTAACATAGTACACGAATCATCTTTAGAGTTCACAGATTCCTTCAAAAGTTCGTACAGGGATTGATAGATAAGACTCCCATCAATGATCTTTTTGATGCATGCAAGTGAGCTCCTGAGAATGGGCCGTCGCCGTCCCCAGTCTCAAAGCAGCGACACACTTTACACCGACGCGGTCACAACACCTAAAAACGGTGTCGTTTTTACCGCCGCTCATCTGCAAAACAATCACGTCTCCCTCACACTCAGCTGAGCCGTACTACGCGTCAGCCCCGTACGGCGGTGATGGACCGTCCTGCTGATCGTCCCTCGGCGCCCAGTCATTGTACCCCGGCGGTGAGTCGTTAGTTTGCAGGCCGCGAGTCGTACGCAGCGCGCGCACCATCAGCCATGAATCAGACGCGATGTCCTCGGCGATATGCAGAGCAGCGTCCGCCTCTCCTGGTCGCCGGAGGACATCGCCTCTGGATCTGATGCATGTCAACAGTGGCGGCGGGCCGGCGAGCTCTCACCCCTCCCCGCCCCTTCCCCCCGCGCCCCAGTCAGTCCGAGCTCCTATTGGTGGACGAGCTGGGCCGGCGGGGGCTCGTCCGTCCCGCCCCCGACTCCGGCAGGGCAGTTGGTCGATCGGTCGGGAGCGGGCCTCCTCAGAATGTCTCCCCCCCCCCTCCACCGGCCGGCGAGGCGAGCAGGCACGTAAGCAATTAACCAGTAATCCTTATTTATCAACACGCTATTCAAGGTGCTACTTAGATAATGATATGTTATTGTGGTGTCGTAATGTCACGTGAGGTCGGGTCGCAGGACCAGTGCTGCCGCCTGGTGGTGACATGACCCGGGTGCGACCGGCTCGTGGAGCGGGAGTCGCCCGCTGACGCTCGAGCCGCGCGGAGCTGCAGTTACGTTTATTACTTTGTATCGTTGTTCATTGCTTATGTTAAATATAGGTACTGCGAGACAGTACAGTTATGTAATATCCTATTTCGTATAAACTGTTCGATGCATTGCTTTACTCTTTTTACAGCATCAAGAATGGATAAACATCTTAATCGACACGAATACGATGCAATCCATTTCATACCTACTTGAAAGTTTTTACTAATGGTATGTACACAAGGAACCTGCATTAGACGACATTGCCTAGATTTGTTGTTCACCTGCTAAGTGAATTCAAACGGCATCCAGGATTTCAAGACCTTTAAACGCACATACCTACGCTGGTCTCATTAGCCAGATTGTCGGAGTTTCCTGTATCTCTGTTCTTCATTTCATATGCCTATCGGTCGGCCATCGTCCTACACCTCCCACACTACGCGCACGCGAGTGACCACACGACAGCCCTGACCTGTCCATGTCCGGCGTGCCCATCGCTTCTCTTCCTCTGTAGTTCCAGTAGACTATCCCGTGTCGCGGGAGCCGGGAGTGGCCGCACGGCTTTATTCTGACGGCTGTCCGTGTCCACTATCCCTGTATCTAACTATAATCTATAGCTTTCAATATTTTCGCATCTCTCTCTCCCTCTCTCTCACTCTCTCCCTCTGCCCTCTCTCCCCTCCCCGCTCTCTCACCGTGATGATGCTGAAGCCGACGACGGAGAGGACACCGGCCACCGAGCCGATGATGACGGCTCCGAACGGCTGTACCATCATGTCGGCAGCCGTGCCCACCGCCACGCCGCCGGCCAGCGTGGCGTTCTGGATGTGCTCCTGGGAACGGGGGAGGACGGGGAGGGTTAGCTGCGTGGTAGGCATTCATCATCTAAGACAGTGAAAGGCCGACTTAGATCTATTGTAATTGAAAATCCCAGCGTGTCGTCTCGTACGTGAAAATTGGTTTATGTGTGGCTGTACATAAGCTTAGACGTGCTTACCATGAACGTTTCTCACCATGCGCTTGTCTTCACGCATTTGTTGAGACATTCTATTTCTCCAAAAGGACTAGTCAAGCCACATATAACACACAACCTTCCAATATATCCCCACAGCGCACGTACGACGCAGGGTATACATATTGGTGCGACGTACTCCGGACTGGCCGGCCGTGAGATTCAAGGTATGTGACCCTCTAGAGGCCGGTGCCTTCTGAAGCCGCCGTCCCCGCCGCCGGCCGGACCAACTGCGTCTCACACGTCCGATGTATATCGTCCCACTAGTGTATGGCTGTCGAGCGGTCACCGCGCCGCGCCGGCGGGGCACAGGGCGCCGTCCGCCGCGGCAGGACATTCGTTAGACGACTCAGACCGCCTGGCAATCAGCGGCCGCAGGTGACAGCCGCGCCCACCGAGCCTCGCGTGAGGCCGGGCCGCCGCGCCGCTCTACCGCGGTGTTGTGCTGCTCTACCGACCTTCTGCGCGGGTTTACCGCGCTGGGATGCTCCACCGCACAGGTATCGGTGACTGCCGAGCGGCGGGCACGGCAGTCGGTGCGGTTGTAGCCCCGGGCGGATCGGGTGATAGTGTTTCACCAGTTCAGTCCGGACTGGACCGGTAAAAGGGGCGGACCTGACTGTGTACGGGTGTAACTCATGTCGAATGGTAACAGCAGTTTCGGTTAGGGATGTGGCTCGCATTGCAAGGTGTTTCTCTGAGGCGAATTTATTTGGATTTAATGTTTCGCTTATGTACATATAGTAGCGGCTTCCTGAATCGCCGGTATGCCGTAGGACAGTGGGTATTATGGCCTCCAGAGCAAGCATTTAATCGCCAGCGTTTTCACTGACGGTTTTGTCCATAATTTACCACTAGAGAGGATGATGGGTTTACAAACAATCGGTAAACATTTTTTTTGGCGTTCACCTTCCCACCCTTCCCTTGCCACTCACCATGGAGAACTTGCTGCGTTTGTCGAGCAGTGCCGAGACGGCGAACGACACCACACAGCTGGCGCAGAGCGAGAGGTAGGTGTTGATGACGGCCCGACTCTGGACGTCACCTTGCGCCAGCGCCGAGTTAAAACTCGGCCAGAAACACCACAGGAAAATCGTGCCTGGGTGAGGGACAAAACAGACGGTCAAATACATGCGTTGAATATAATAAAACAAGGAGACGGACACGGCACCTTTTACCATTTTTTTTTTTATATATTCGCTGAAAGTAATCCACAAGTAACTTTAGTCCGGAGTCTCGCGTATCAGCAGACCCGCTCATATTACGTTAAAAGGGACCCTCCCACCTTCAAAAAAGTTAATGATTTGGCATGAAAGTGATGTCGCTCGGTTCAGAAAGAGCAAAAACGAATATCTACCAAATTTCATCGAAAAATATTCACCGGTTTTCAAGATATTAGACTTTTACTTTTGTTTACTTTTTGGGATCTCCGCTGTTCCTAGCGACTTTATTTGAAAGTGCGGCATTTGTTGCGCGCAAAGCAGCATATATCACCGCGTGCTACAAAACGTTTTAGTCAAACATTTAACGGACGTTCGAAAGCCTGATGACGTCATCAGATTCCCGTAATGGTTAAGAGATAGGGACCACGCTGGTCCCACCCTGCAAGTAAAGGGAAGAAATTTCTTGAACACCATAAAGCTGCGGGGGTTGCGACTAGGATAAATGGTGGTTTCTGAGCCTGGCCGCAAACTTGGCTATCTCAACTCAAAACTAATGTTAAGGTGGGAGGGTCCCTTTAACGTTATGGGTAAACGTTATGGGCATTGCGGCACAGTATACCTGCAGGCGCTTTTACACTGCCATCTATGGGCGAAAGGTGAAAATAATGAGCATTGCGGCACAGTATCCCTGCTGTCTTCGTTATGATGAACCTTTGCTTCTTCTCGCCTTCGCTACAGCTGACTCAGTTGTTTCTACCGGGTGGCCCAGAAAAAACGTTCCCAACTTTAAATCAATATTTCTCAGAAAGTGATAAAGATACAACATTGAAACTTCCAATAGTCAATGCGGCACACATTTTCAGTAAATGGTGTGATTTTCATGGTGTTCGGTAAATTACTTTTTAAACGATTCGTGTTTCAAGCATGCCATGTAAAAATTACTTTTTTGCTCCGATGTTTACTCAAAAATGTGAGTGAACAGGTCACTTTCACCCCTCGGCACCACGGCCTAGAGCCATGGCTGCTACTGGCAGCTAGTCTCATTGATGGTTCGGGTCTCAGGATGACACATTCCATCAGGCAACCACGATGGCTCTGTGCCAGTGGCATCGGAAGAAGTTTCCAGTTTTCTAACCATCTTGTGGCTCAAATGCTTTCCTGGCTGACATTCCTGGGAAAAGGTAGCTTTTCAACCAGTTTTCTTTTTTGTCATCTGCTGGCAATATCGTTTTTCATAAAATGTTATGTGGTCTTCTGGCACAGGAACTAGTCTGTTTTAGTTTGTTTTCCTTATCCGGTCGATTTACTGTTTGATCTACTGAAAGGAGGGTAATCAGCAGTAATCCATGCACCGTGCCACGAATCATGATTTGGTGTTAAAACGAATGGCATCCATGAGCACCATTTTGGCTCAGTATTTGAATATTTGGCACATAAGTGAGACACAAATATTTAAAATAAGAACATACGTGTTGGTTTCATTCACATGCTCTATTTTTCTATTCTTTTTTAGGTATAACATGCCCGTCTAACCCAATCATCACTATCGTTTGATATCGGCAAAAAAAGCAAAAACGTCTTGCTTAATTCAACTCAAGATTGCCACCTTGAAAATGATGGTATAGTGTTATAATTTAGCATACCAATGCGCAAAGAAATGACGCAAACTTGCTGAAAATTTTGTCTCGTTATTTGCACTCGAATTTGATATATAGGCCTCCAAAGTTCGGAACGTTTTTTCTGGGCCACCCGGTATTAGCCGTTTTACACTTTATGTAAACTAATGAGCGAATGAATGGATAAAGGTTTACTGCGCTGATGACGCAATCAATAAAAAGTTTTCTTGCTAATAGTAAACGTCTGGTTGATTTCTTTAGCTCCTTACCGATCATCGAGAACAGGTCGGAGACGATGTTTGAGGCTGCTAAGTCTCCCTATCGATAATCGATACCAGTTTGGCTATCAGGGCTCCTTACCGATCATGGAGAACAGATCTGAGACGGTGTTTGAGGCGGCGTTCTCGCTGTCCCGGTCCTTCCTAAACATGGCGAAACTGACGGCCAGACCGAAATACGCGCCGAACGCGTGCACAAATATCGAGTCGCCCATATCGGACACCTGTAACAGGAGAAAGCGAGGTTATTGACGTACGTTGTCCAATAACTCAAGGGCTGGTCCAGGAAAACCATGATATACTGACCCGATAAAAATCCTCATTCCCGCCAATAAGTGATGATGGTTACAATTAATTAGGTATACCTAATAAAGTACCAAATCCCATATTTTACTGCATGAATTTACTAAGGAACTCTTGGGTTGCACTTACCTGCAGGTATCGCCGACCAATGACTTCATTGAAGGCAAATATGGGAACCTGAAAAAGAATAGACCGAACATAACAAAGGAACGAGAGCACACAAGACGCAACACATGAACCTTTATTGAATGTCATTACGAAGTCGCAGTTGGCACCTACAAAAGCCGCTGACATTGATTGAACTCCATGTCACGGTTCCCGTCTGTCTACGCAAAAACACTGTTTTTACGCTGTTTTTGTCTTCACTATCGCTTGACAGGACTAAATCCGTCATTTATAATGAACCACTCGTATTGCCTCGACAATGAGGGAGCGGACAAAGTATTTTGCTGCCGGACAAACTGAATCTGCGGACCAAACACCCTCTCTGGACGAGAGAGTTCTGCTGTGTTTTGACGGGCGCTCAGACGACCGGCCTGTCGGTCACATCTGAAGGGCGCAGGGCGGGATAATCCACCCGACTGGTGTATAATGGACCCGTATCCGTCTATCGCGCATACCGAAAACGCATACATTTATCCAGGGCCACGTGTACGCTGGAGTGTGTCTGGAACTCGAGGCAGTGGAACGTTTGGGTCAGCCGAATTCAGCAGCGGGATTCGGCCGAAATATTAGACAGGGTGAAATAATCCCAGTTGCGGCATCACTCAAAGGTGCTGTTCAATTGTTCATAAGGGTTTCGTTTTTATCTGTAGGTGTATGTTTCAGGCGCTTTTGCATATCATTTTTAAGGGATTTATAGCGAAAGAGTTAAAATATTTAAGCTTACTTATTATCTTCCGTCCGTACATCCGTCTGTCCGTCCGTTCGTTTGTGCGTCTGTCCATCCGTCCGTCTGTTCGTCTGACCGTCTGTCTACCCGTAAGCCCGTCTGTCTGTCCGTCCGTCCGTCCGTTTACTGACCTCGATCATAGCCATCACCAGTAGCTGCGTGGGCGACGTCTTTCCGAGCACGACTCCGAATGAGATCAGGATACACGCGGCAGTGAAGTCGGCTCCCAGCAGACTGGCGGAGAAAAACCGCGCATAAACTTCATGGGGGCATTATAAGCACTACATGATTTAGAATATCTGATCAGCATGTTTTGCTTGCGCTAATTGCTAAAATAAGAAGAATGTTGTAGGAGAGGCCAGATAATGTATGTATAATATCATTAGACTGGGTACGTTAAAAACACACCACAATGTGAATGTATTTCGCATCTCCCAGACATAACAAAGCCTTCAAAGCAATGCTATTTGCTAGACCCCTGGCTTAGATATCCCAATCGGCTATAAGGAATGAGTGATTACCTCATTATCCTCATACCAGAAGCTAGCCACCGTAACGTTGGGTTTGCACGTCTGGACTATGTAGTATTTTAGCTACGGATTAGTTCGAAAGTGCCGTCTAAGCCGAAGGCATCAAAGACCGTCTTTCTCTTCGCCCGCAGGGAGTTATAAGGTGGGGAGCCTTATGCGATCTTCGGTAAAACCATTCAATTTTTTGTACGTAAAAATGAATGGCAAATTGAAGTGGTGCAATTGAAAACGCAGACCTCTGTTACAATGGTTCCCACATATAATTCCTCCCTGATTAGTGATTTTCTACAGCCATCTCCGATAAGAGGGAGCTATCCAGATTGTTCCATTAGGTCGCCGTGAAAAAGAACATCGTGACTATATCACTATATCGACTGATGGCTGATTAATTAGCTAAATACCGCGGAAAGTGCTGCAATCTGCATCTGTCTAAACGGTGTACGATTTTCGGCGTGGACAACCATGACTGTGTGAGTGGCTGATGCAATGCGACGGCCTTGCCACATTCGAGCCTCTGTGAAATAAACATGAATGGTGTATGTATATCTACAATATACATCCACATTCCAAAGCATCAGCCGACTAAATCGTGTCTTGTCACCTTGCATTGCTCTGGCATTAATGAGTCATGCATCCAATAAAAGCGACGTGCATGGGACGGTTCATCGCGTATTTCTCCCGTTGAAAAGAGAAAAATAAAAGTTGCCAATCTCGAAAGGCTGGCTTAACTAATTCCCAAATAGCAACACTTCAATGAATCTCGTGGTTTGGTTCATGTGATTTTGATGCTTTGATTCCTAGTGATTTTGAAGCTATTCACCGCAAAAAGAATGATTGTACGGGTTCTATTTTGAGATCAATACGTGTGAGTGAGTCACCAAAAGAGTTAGGTCCATTCCGTTTTTTTTTTTCGGAAATGTCAGCTGACCTCCCACACCTGGAATATCACACCCTGCCATGTGATTCTGAGACGCCCCGGCGCCCGTCGGACCCACCTCTCGACGTCGATCTGGATCCTGCCGTCGTGTAGGTGGAAGAACCCGTTGACGATCAGGGCCCACTGCAGCACCAGCGCGGCCAGCAGGAAGTTGAGGCTGACGGCGCTGAGGCCGTAACGCTTCAGGAACGTCATCAGGAAGCCGAAGCCGATGAATATCATCACGTGCACGTCCTGGAACACTGAACGGAGGACAACGGTTCAGCGCCATCGGAATCAATAAGGCGGAAGCTTTGAGTATTCTGCCAATAATGTGACATAAATTGTTACAAACATATCTAAACCATGATTAAAAAACTATATATTCCTTACACACATCACGGAGTTATAGCGTAAACATCTAGGAAAATCTCACAATGGCATCAGTCTAGCCATCCTCCTAGGCGCTACATCGAGACTAGAATGCCCATCAACATAATGGCAGTCACAACAAGAAGGCATACATTCACGACATGCTGGATGATCTCAACGACCTTGCTTCGAAGATGAATTATTCGGTAGTGTCTTGCGCTATACTTAATCTATATGCATAAAAGGGGTACAAACACGTTACATGCACACATACAACATGCATGCATGCATGCATACATACATACGCATTTACGTTGCTACATGGATAGCTTCCTGCACATAAATAAGGAGCAAATACTGCAAAGGTGACAAGCCAATCATGTAAGGGTCACGTCCCTTCTCACAAATTCGTTGTGTAACACAGAGTGCGTCAGGAGCGATAAGCTATGCACAAAGGTCCACTCATGTAGGCAATCGTAGTAGTGCGGGGTAGTATCTAACTCTTATGCTCCACGATGATTCGTACATTATTGCGGGATTATCACTGCCGATTCACCCATCGCCACCTGTTATTTACCGACCGAGAAGCCGAGGCAATACGGCACAAACGGGCGTTAACTCAGCCACCAAACGAGTCGAATTGAAGACGGTCGAGCAACTGAATTAACGGAAAAAGAAGTCACTGGGAAATAAGCGTTGAAGGAACGGAAACAATTGGAACGTGAAAAAATGACGGGAGCGAGAATAAACGTTTAAATCTCCTAACAGGATACGTGCCGACGCAGGTCTACGCCCCACTCTCTTCCACGACCTCCCGTCCTCTCTCCTCCTACCCAAACCCTCCCTCCGTCTCGTCTCACTCACTGCTGTACATGCGGAGCAGCTTTCCGGGCGGCGTGTCCTGCGGCGCGTCGTCCGGCTTTGTCACAGAGTACTCGGCGAACACGCCGAACAGGATGACGAACACTACCTGGAGGGCCACCAGCACCAGCGGATGCAGCGTGCCCAGAGCCATCGCGGCGGATGGAGAGGGGCGGAAGGTGGGGAAAGCACGAGGATGGTTAGACGGTAAGCGGTGGATGGTAAGCAGATAGACGGTGGATGGTCAGATGGCGCACGGTGGACAGTGAACGCTTAGACGGTTAGAGGGTGGACGACGGACTTGGAACGACAGTAGATGATAGACGGCCAGACGGTTAGACGGTGGAAGGTAGACGATGGACGATAGACCGCAGGACGGTGGGCTACGCTCTAGTCAGACGACTGACAGCGAACTGAATACACGGCGGCGCTACAGCGAGCAGCGGACGGCGGGGCTCCTCTCGGCACGCCCGCTCGGGGTCGAATGGCTGTCGGAGCCGGAGACGGCGGCGGCTGGGTCGGCGCGGAGCGGATCGGGGACGGATCATTGGACGGATCACGGTCGGTATATACGGGCCGAATGGTGCCCTGCGGCGGCGGGTCACCAGCCAGCACAGTCTCTCGGGTCGCCAGGTCCGCTGCTGATGTCCTCACGACATAGGGGATGATGGGTGTCTTCCAGCCGTTCACGGCAGCTCCAGAGAGGACTGAGATTTGTTGTTGACGTTCACACATATGTGAACGAAGAACGGTGTGGCTGTCTATTTGATTATCCCACAGGCCACTGGGAATAAATCAAATGAAGGTTAGCGTCGGTCTGTGCTCCGCAGCTCTGCCACATGTGGCTTAGAAGGTGTATACTTCCTAGATCAAGTCATAGGATGCCCAACGAACAGCGGCAGACAGAGCAACCCACCCATTCTTAGGTAAGGTCAATAGATACGCTACTACAGTTATTCCAATTTCGACCTTTTATAGATAACAATATAAGGTCATTTACTACATGATTGAGGAGAGCAGTTCGCAGCTCTTTTTGGGTTTAACCCTTTTGTGTTGTGAAATAAGATTTGACCTCGAGTCAACGTTTGTTTCTCAACGCAACGAACACCAGCGTATAAAGTTTGCTTTCATGAACGATTTCCCGTGATAACTTCTGGACATCTTAATTGAACATACTTGATCGTATCCTGTCGTCGTGTTTCCAAAGGCATGTCACGTGACAGCTCACCCGACAAAGACACATTTGACAGTCAGACAGTTCAACAGGCAGTTCACCTGGCAATGACAATGTAGGTTGGACAGAAACCGGACAGCTGTGCCAGCAGGTTGAACTGACAGACACCTGAGGGCCCGCCCGACAGCGACACCTAGCACTCATGTAGCTCACCTAACACCTAGGCGTAGCAGTCAGGAAGCCCACCTGAGAACAGCAGCTGACAGCTCACACAGCTCACCTGAGGTCGGCAGCTGACGGTCTCAGAGCTCACCTGACAGCGGTAGCTAGCTCACCTGAGAGTGGCAGCTGACAGCTCACACATCTCACCTGATGTCGGCAGCTGGCCCCGCTGATTGCCGGCCGTCCTCTGCCCCGGCTCCTCGGGCCGGTGTAGCGCCCAGCTGGCCAGTGTGTCTCGGTAGCGCGGCCGCCACCGCTCGTCCAGCGGAGGGTAGTGCACGAGCAGCGTGAACAGGACCAGTAGCACCGTCTGAACAGCCAGCAGCAGCAGCGGCAGATGAGGACGCTCCGAGAGGGGCCACCGCAGCGGCGCAGCGCAGCACAGCGGCATGGCAGCGGTGGAGGAGCCCCGAGGGGCGGATGGGAGGACGGCAGACGGTACGGCTACGGGAACATCTGGCGGAAAGGACGGACGGTGATGGGCCAGCGGAGAGGGCAGCTGTCGAAACGGTGGGTGAAGATCTGGAGGGTTACAAGAGAACTGACAGAAGAGAGGACGAGTTGGTGGACAGAGGGATGGGGTGGTAGCGCCGACTGGACAGCCGACTGAACTCAGTCGGACTGGTGCCACTGCGCCGTCGCACGGCATACTGCAACGATCAGCTCCGTGCCAGTGAGGCACTCTGCCCCGAACAATGGCAGTTGAGACCCCCGGGGAAGGGTCTGCCCAGAATACACCCTCGGGTGACCTGAGATCGACCCGGTGACTTGTAGGTGACCCGGACATAGAATGCACTATGCGGTACTAAACAGAGGTCGCACAAGTCAAAGCGATAATGTCGAGCTACAATGTGAACCCTGATGGCAGATTGGCTGGTGTGCTGATCACATGGACAGATAGTACATAGGTTCATTGTCCTTGCACACAACAGCAGACACGGCTGGAAGTGGCACAACCGAAACGAACCATATGCCTTTCTAAACTCGTACAATTCAAGAACAGTGACAAGTGTAATACATGTATTTGTTACCAAATATTGGTAGTTGAGCGGGTTAGATCACAGGTTCACAGGTTCTTGAGGAGTCTCGACTAGAGTAGTTCCACAATCCACACGTCCCAGAGTTATCGCTGCCGTTAGCTGTACCCATCAGTGACTTATGGTACGACGCAGTCTCCTGAACTCACAGTCAACATAGGCCTGAGCACAGATAACAGTAGTAGTTACTACTGTTATCTGTGGCCTGAGGTCTTCGGTCTCCAATGGCCATGCCGAGACCGGCTGCCCTTAGTTCTCGATAGTCCACCAGAGAACGATGGTCATTAGTTCTCAGTCCTAAAAAAGACCGTCGTCGGTCCTCTGCCTTCGATGGTCCCGTCAGAGACCTGCGGTCTGTCCTCGATGGCCCTTCAGAGACATCTGGTCCTCAGTCCTTAGTGGTGCTCTGGAGACCGATATGGTCCTCACTCCTCAGTCCTCTACCACGGTGGCCTGCACGCCTCGCTCGGTCAGCTGGTCCACCAGCCGGCGGTACCCGGCCGCCACCATGTGGTCCACGTAACCCAGGTGGATCTCGGCCTGGCGCAGTTCCGGCAGCCGCTCACAGATGTCTCTGATGTTCCGCTCGGCGCACAGCCGCACCACCAGGCGGCGCACGCGGCGCAGCGGCGCGCCGGCCGGGCCCGCCTTGGCAGAGGTGAGGTCGAGCGTCTCCAACTGCGGGCAGGCCTCGGAGAGGAGGTCGCCGAAGAGCCAGCAGTGCCGGCGCATAGTGAGGTGTCGGAGCCGCGGCAGGGGGTCGCTGAACACCGGCTCCGGCGGGCAGCAGTCCTCGGTCAGCCACAGCACGGTCAGCTCCTCCAGGTGGGGGAACCAGCCGCGGGCGCCGGCCGGGCCGCCCCGCACCAGCTGGTAGTAGTCGGGCCGCAGGGTGAGCCGCCGCAGCGCCGGGCAGCAGGCGTTCACTGCCGAGACGTCAATGCGCCGCCGGCCTCCCCAGGCAGTGTGCAGCTCGAGTTCCGCGAGCTGCGGCAGCTCGGCGCCGGCGGGCAGCGCGCCGCCGTCACTGTCCACGTTCTGCAGCCTCAGCCGGCGCAGCTCCGGGTGTCCGAACAGACCGGCCAGCGGCGCCGAGCAGCGCACCAGACTCAGCGCGCGCAGCTGCGGCAGCCGCGCCTGCAGGGAGGCGCCCAGCTGGTAGCCGCTCACCTCCAGCTCCTCCAGCCGCGGGCAGCAGGGCGCGCCGGCCGCCTCTACGGGCGCCAGCAGCAGCGGCCGCCGGGACGGCGAGCACTTGTACCAGGTGGCCACCCGCAGACGGCGCAGCGCCGGCGTACAGTCGGTAACCACGCGCAGGTCGACAGTGACGTTAGTCTCCAGATCGACACAGGTCAGAGTCTGTGACCGCAGCTGCTCCAGACTGAACCGGGTCGGCGTGCGGCCGTATAAGTGTGTCAGCGATGGACAGGCCTCCATCAGCGTCCTGCAGTCGTCCAGGGGCGGCCGGCCGGCTATCACACGCAGTCCGGTCGCTGGCTCCGAGAAGAACTCAGCCAGAAACACATCCACCATCCGGTGGCTGACGGCCGACCGAATGTGCACCTCCCTCAGCTGGGCGGGCCGGCTGCGCAGCGCGCGCGCCAGGCGGCGGACCGTCTCTGCCGAGTCGTTGGGTCGGAGCCAGCCGATTCGGGTGTGGCGGGTCACCACGGCCTCTGCCAGGAGGGCGAGGTCCTCCGCCTCCTCTGGGTCACCGCTGTCCAGGGGAGGCAGGTCCGCCCAGAGGGTGTCGGCGGCCAGTCGGGCCAGCGGCGGCGGCAGGTCACCCAGCCCCCAGTGCGGACCGGGCTCCAGGGGCCGCCGGCGGCACCTGTCACACACCGCCTGCAGACACAGGGCCTGGAGCGTGGGCAGCGGCCGGAGACGGGTCTGGAGTGGAGGCGGGGTCTGCAGGCGCAGCAGGGCGGCCGGCAGAGACGTCAGGTCCGCGGAGTCGGCCAGCATCGGCGACGGACGGTCCACGAGCAGGTTCTCCAGAGCGGACATCGGCGGAGAGGACCGTGACGGCAAGGCCGCGCTTCAAACCACGCCTGTCACGACAGGGCCGCGGTCAGGGCCATTGCCGCGCCGACTGGTCAGTCACGCCCGGGCCGAAACTCACAATCAGCCGCGCCCGGACAGTGCTTTACACTCAATCAGCGGCGCTCCAACTGAACCCTCGTGGCTCGCAGGCACTGCATCAGCCGCGCTAGGACCACAGCATGGCAGGCACTGAGTTAGCCGCGCCGCCGGTCCTCAGCGCCACGCCAGCGGCCGGGCCGCCACACCTAGACCGGCCCTCACTCAAAAACCAGGCCGCCACCGACAGCAGTCAACACTCAATACATTTCACCAGACCAGACGCTGCGTCACACTCACTGTCCCTCCGTCAGTCCACCGCCACTGAATTCCCTCACAGATGCACACGCAGCGGCACGCACGCTGTGACCGACGTGCTCACGGTGGGAGAGATAGAGCAGCCGCCGCCGGCCGCCGCCCGGGCGGGGGCGGGGGCGGGGGCGGCGGGGAGAGCGGCAGTGGGCCGACCTGACCTTGAGCCGCCCGCGACGGCGCAGCTCGAGTGCGGCCCGGGCGTCAGTCGGCGGCCGGCCGGCCGGACGGGAGCGGAGAGTTCACTATCGTGACGGTATGTGGCCGATGAGGGCAGCGTGAGGACTATCTGAGGGTACAGGAGGGAACAGGTCACATGAACTGCTACTGGGAGTGCGGAGGGAGAAGGGAGGAACAGAGTAACGGGACAACCATAGAACCCAAACTGTTGATTGTAGATCAGCACTCATACGAATAAATCACGGGCACGAAATGCCGTTAACATCAAAGCATTCGCAAAACTAGGAGGGAAGTTCATAATCGACACGCAACAGGCTTCGATTAGGACGCTCGCCTCGCGTGCACTTCAGCGATAGACGACCCTAGGACGATGGAACTTGATCGATGTTATATAAAAGCAGACATGGCAGTGCACATGTCCTTAGTAAGACGGAAATCGGTGAGTTCGTGCAGAGGAAATCGTATCAGCGTTGAAGTTCGCTT